ATAGACCTATATCTCGATGTTGCCCTAAAGCTTTATTTGATGCCCAAATATTCACCCCTCAGCAGGAGGCAAGCAGAAACTGTGTCAAAAGTTTCGCACGGATTTTTTCCCTATTTTAACTGCACCCAGATATTCGTAGGATTACAGTCGTGTCTCAACAGACCATTTAATGTGATCCCAGCCTTATCCTGTTACAATCTTTGGTTGTCGGGTCTCAGGTCAAGTGTGTATTTCTCTAAGCTCCGTATACAAACTAAAAGGCGAAAAAATTGTAACAAGTACATTAAAAATCGATTGAAATCCGAGTCGTGATCGGCCATAGTTGTCAGCACATATAAATTCATAATGTTTTTGAAACCAAGAAATATATAACTATCATTTCCTTTAGAATAACAACCATAAATCTACTCTATAAAATATTATTTTTCAAATAAAGAAAGAAAAAATAGACACAAAAAAATAACGCAGTTTTAACAGGTAACTTTTTCATCGCAGTTTTAAGGGGTAATTTTTTCATCGCAATTTTAACAGGTAACTTTTTCATCGCAGTTTTAACAACTTTTTCATCGCAGTTTTAACGGGTAACTTTTTCATCGCAGTTTTAACAGGTAACTTTTTCATCGCAGTTTTAACAGGTAACTTTTTCATCGCAGTTTTAACAGGTAACTTTTTCATTCACAAGCCAGTCAGTTTGTCTTTTATAAGGAGCTTTTGCTGTACCCAACCGACTCATCCACACCCCGAAAACGCCAGGCTTTACCCAAGACGAGGTAATCAGAGTTTCTTTCAGGCATCTCTTCAAGGGGCACCTCTCCCCCCGGACAAAATATAATTTATTTACAAAAACAGTGTCCGTCCCCCCTCCCAAAAATTTAAGTCCGGCCCCCCTCTAAAAAAATTCAGTACCCCCTTTCACTCCCCCCCCCCCCCCCCCTCTCCGGAGATAAATGTCTGAACGAAATCCTGGAGGTCATGCGAGTTGTGCCAACAAATTTATTTGCGATTTCAGATTCCATTCAAGTCCTACCCACCCCTGCGGTCAGTTCTATCCCACACTTACTCCCACCGTTACCCAACCCTGCCCCTAAGCGTTAGTCAATGCTTCGGGACTCGAGACCTTCGGTTTCGTTCAGTAGGCTATGTAGATTTTAAAAAAATTGTGCCTGTACATTTATTTATGATTTCTGACTCGATAAAAGACTTGGCACCCCTCCGGCTACCCCTACCCACATGTACTTCCACCCCTACCCCACAATTTCTCCCACCCCAGCCCTTAATGTCCTAATAATGTAGAGTCCTGGATATTGCATGACTCGGATCGGTGACAATCTTGTTATTAAACCTCGTGGAGATCGATAGATCGATAGCATTGATAAGTTTGCTCCAGTCACGATCTAATCGATACGTCTACACACCGATGGTTTAAACTACCCCAATAAAGATGTCTGTGTGTCTGTTTGTCTGTCTGTGTGTCTGTTTGTCTGTCTGTGTGTCTGTCTGTGTATCTGTCTGTGTATCTGTGTGTCTGTGTTTCTGTCTCTGTGTCTGTCTGTGTATCTGTCTGTGTATCTGTCTGTGTGTCTGTGTGTCGTCTTTCTGAGTGTCTGTCTTTCTGAGTGTCTGTATGTAAGTCTGTGAGTGTGTGTCTGCCTGTGTGTCTGTGTATATGTCTGTCTGTGAATATATATATGTGTGTGTGTGTGTGTCTGTCTGTGTGTTTGTCTGTGTGCTGTCTGTGTATCTGTCTGTCTGTGTACATTAATGTCTTTCTTTTTGTTTGAATATTGTACATTTTCTGTGGACCATAATTTACTAGCACTGATATTGGAAAACGTGTTTAAATGCAGCATAGACTGTATTTTTAATTAAATGTTCATAGGTGAAAGTACAATAATTTAGGCAATTATCTCATGGCATGAACCGTTATAATTAGTACATGAAGAACAACAATCACAAGGTCAATGACCTCACATGTATCTCGAATTGTTGTTTTACACAGACTGCATTGTGCATTGAATATATGCATATATATATATATATATATATATATATATATATATATATATATATATATATATATATATATATATATAATGACAAGTCACACATAGGCCTTGGTAGAGAAACGTAAAAAAAAGTCATTAGTGTGAGTGTTAACTACACTATTTTTTTCAGCTGCTGTTAATGACATAATTACTGTAAGCACTTGTTAATTACGTCCTAACTGTGATTTATTAATGTGTCATCAAAACGTAGCTCGTTCGACACCGATATTTTAACACAGGTTGTTAGTGTCAGCGAGGGTTCAGAGCTTCTCATCGACAAGGGGAAGAAAGTGACAATGTGATCTTCTGAATGTTACAAAATTGTAACAAAATATTTAAACCATCATGCTATCGATATTGGAAGAAAAGTATTTGTGAAAATGACAACGCGATCTTTTTAACGTGGAATTCGTACACATAAAATGAAAATATTAGGTGCTATAACATTGAAATTGTAACAACAGATATGCGACCTAGTTGTAATGCACGTGAGAACCACTGGATTGGATAAATCCTTAAGCAGCGGATGAATCTTATTAGCGCAGTAAATAACATAGTATCACGGCGAACGGTATTAGCATAGGAATAGAGTATAGAATTATCTAGCCTTGCATGATGGCTGTCTAGTGGAGAAAAGACGTCACAAAGTGGAAAGGTCAAATAGGGCTGCCATTTTTGTCTTTTATTGAAAACTGAATAACAGTGATTGTTTCTTGTCGAAGGAAAAAAAAACACGTGAAATCAACTAAATCTGTGTTCTGGTGTGATTGTCTGGGGAAAATTAAATTTGAATAGCCTAAAGTTCGTCTTGTAACCAGCTGTTGACGTGTTGTAAAGCAGACGATTTCCTGATTTTAATGTGGAGAGAATTCATTCTGACCTCGAGCATACTCTAGATTTATTCAAGTGCTGAGGGTCAGGGGTCGTACCCCCCCCCCCCCCTAACTCGCAGTCTACTATCGTCACAAAAAGCTGTAACCAGAGGCATACCTGAAGGGGGGGGGGGGGGCGTATGGGCTGCCGCCCTAGACGCCAACCTTAGGGGTGCCGAATGGGGTAGAAAAAAGAGCCCCCCCCCCCCATTTTGAGCTTCATTACCAGCTTATACACAGTCGAAGATCAGAAAATTAGACCGTTATTTCAACTTATTTGGCTTGACGGGCTGATTTCACTATTTTCTACATCAACTGTGTGACACCAACATAAACAACGTTAAGGGACATGGACTGGTATAAGGCGACCCCGACCTTTCATAATTGGGGGGGGGGGGCGCATTTTTGACAATGCCGATAAATATACAAATGGGGAGGGGGGCGCAAAACGTACGGTCCGCCCCGGGCGCCGGAATGGGTCGCTACGCCTCTGGCCCTACCCTATCCCATAAATAACGTCACAATATTTCAACTCCCTAACATCACCATTAGGGCATTATTCTAACCAAAATCGGCGAGTACTTATTATTTTTATTTGAATATATTTATATCAAATACAATATGTATACTACGTCATCAAACCCTCATTTAATATATTACATCATTGATTCATACGTTTAGAGGTATTGCTAATTGAAAAAAATTGAAGTTTTATATTAAATATTTAATTTCTGCTAGTTACCTCCCATTTTCATTTCGGTATATAACCAAGGGAAAATACCCATAACTGTTCCTCAAAATAAAACAAATTGACGAAACTGAAAAAAAAAAACGAAATTAAAAATAGAAATACAATTGTTTCATAAATTATATAGAACATGAATATCTAGAATTATCTATTAATTTTTTGTCTGTTTGAAATATCTTTGATTTTACATGAGTCATTTTGTTCTAACTTATATTTTATTAAAAACATTAGCTATAATAAATACTCCGTTTTTAGACACAAAAAAGAACATATGACTGATTCGTTTTGTTAGCGTTTTTTATAGTTGCTGAGGTAAAAAAAAAAATTGAACCCTGTTTCTTGAAATTACACCTGGTAGTAAATCACCATGAAACTTACTTGGATGCTTTATGATACTTTATCTCGCTGAGTTTTTTTTTCGATGTAATGGTAACAAACCATTAACACACAAACCCGTATTCTTACAATCTCAAATTCAGTTGGTAAATGGAAGCAAAACATAAATATATAGTTTTCTTTTTATTTAAATTTTTTTTTAGCTCACAACGTTTATTTGAAGGAAATCTTGTAACTCAAAAAAAAAAAAACTTTATAATAATAAACTTTTAAATGCACTGAAAATAAAAAGAAATGTGCTAAAATGTGTACGGTAGGTGGTGCTTTGACCTAAGGGTGTTTGACCGCAGATGCTGTGGCGACAGCCAGGATTTGACAACAGGTGTTTAGTTCACAGTGAGTCTTGGACCATATAGAAATGGGAAGCTCTGGGAGCTATTTAAGGTGATGAGTTTAGTTTTAGTCTTTATGACGTCAATTTTCCTAGGTATTAAATGTTAATTGTCTTTTTTTAAAACCATCCATGACATCCCAGCTGGTTCACAATTATGAATAGTTTTTGTACTGAAATGCACATTTCAAACATGAATCGTAAGCACTGTGACGTAACATTGGAGGAAAAGTTGGATAAAATTGTAAGTGACAGAAAAGCGCGGAAGGATGTTGTAGTGGAAGGATGTTGTAGTGGAAGGATGTTGTAGTGGAAGGATGTTGTAGTGGAAGGATGTTGTAGTGGAAGGATGATGTAGTGGAAGGATGTTGTAGTGGAAGGATGTTGTAGTGGAAGGATGTTGTAGTGGAAGGATGTTGTAGTGGAAGGATGTTGTAGTGGAAGAATGTTGTAGTGGAAGAATGTTGTAGTGGAAGGATGTTGTAGTGGAAGGATGTTGTGGTGGGAGGATGTTGTAGTGGAAGGATGTTGTAGTGGAAGGATGTTGTAGCGGAAGGATGTTGTAGTGGAAGGATGTTGTAGTGGAAGGATGATGTGGTGGAAGGATGTTATAGTGGAAAGAATTTATAGTGTGTGAATATTGTAGTGGAAGGCTGTTGTAGTGGAAGGATGTTGTAGTGGAAGGATGTTGTAGTGGAAGGATGTTGTAGTGGAAGGATGTTGTAGTGGAAGGATGGTGTAGTGGAAGGATGTTGTAGTGGAAGGATGTTGTAGTGGAAGAATGTTGTAGTGGAAGGATGTTGTAGTGGAAGGATGTTGTAGTGGAAGGATGTTGTAGTGGAAGAATGTTGTAGTGGAAGAATGTTGTAGTAGAAGGATGTTGTAGTGGAATGATGTTGTAGTGGAAGAATGTTGTAGTGGAAAGAATGTTGAAGTGGAAGGATGTTATAGTGGAAAGAATTTATAGTGTGTGAATATTGTAGTGGAAGGATGTTGTAGTGGAATGCTGTTGTAGTGGAAGGATGTTGTAGTGGAAGGCTGTTGTAGTGGAAGGATGTTGTAGTGGAAGGATGTTGTAGTGGAAGGATGTTGTAGTGGAAGGATGTTGTAGTGGAAGGATGTTGTAGTGGAAGGGTGTTGTAGTGGAATGATGTTGTAAATAGACCATGTTCCATTGTGAATTGAAAAAGCCATAGAGTAAGTAGAAGATAACTTTAACAGTCAATCCCAACCTGTTTTTCTCCGCCCCGCCCCGCCCCTTTACATATTGTATAGTGTAAAGGCAGCAGATGGTGACTGCCTTGGTGGGTAGTGAAATAGATGTCAAGAAAAAGACAGCGTCTAAATACCGAATTCCAAGAAACCATTACAGAAAACGTGTCTACCGTGAAAATGTGGTCACCTAAGTGTGGGTAAGAAGGTTGAACGAAGAAAGAAATAGACATCAAGAAACGTGTTGTCTTGCAGGGGTGGACTGGCCCGCCGGTCTACCGGGAAAAATCTCGATGGGCCCCCAGGAAAAATCTCGATGGGCCCCAAGAAAGGCGCTGAAACAATCCTATTAATGTTCAGTTTTGTTTTAAATATTTTTTTGGAATTTCTCCATTTTACCACTTTATTATTTCGTACCAGGGCGTAAAATTCAGGCTTTGATGTGGAAACTAACATATATTTACAATGAAAATTTTAATCTGGGGTTGGGGGGGGGGCTTTTAATATCTCCCGGCCTCTTGGACAAAGCCAGTCCACCCCTGTTGTCTTGTAACGTTTATTTTCTTACACCGAAGCCAACAAGCCATCATGTTATGAATAAAACTTTGAAAGATTACGATCCTGTCTTAAAATAATGAACCCGGAAGCAGACTTGACATTTGATTGTAATATCAGTTTGTCAAGGCAGTTGTTTGTACATGCAGATAAGGCAGAGACGTTGTTGTGTGTTTGTTTTAGATCGTGTGACGTTAGCCTTAATTAAAGTCTACACTCGGAAAATCTAATTGGCTGAAAATATGGCTGTTAAGCGTTTTAATTACCTGTCGTCAATTAGCCACGGTAGTAATGATAATGTGGCGTAATTATAAGATTTAATAAGTAGCTGTATTTGTCAACAGGTGTAGTGTTAACGTGGGTGGGGCACTTGGCTAAAACTAACCCCAGAGGCCCTGCACCTATTGTAACACGAGGAATATTTACATTCTGTTACAGCTTTAAGAAAAGATTTAAGGTCTAAAATATTCGGGGGAAACCTGGCTGTTGTATGATCAGCAACCCCCACCCCCCTTGTGGTGTTTGTCAATAATAATTTGTAGACATAATAAATAAATAAAGGTTAGTTGCAGTAGAGTGGCACGCCCTGATAGATCGTTTTAAAAAAAAGATCAACGACATAAGGCGTGAACTCAGTGACGTCACACAAACACACCATTCGTGTTTCATTTAAAAATATTTTTCCCATCTAAACTTTGATAAACCGCCTATAATGGCTAAGGAAGCTGTTTATATTGTGCTGTTCTTATCAATTAGTAGTACCCACTAATTTCTATGAATGGTAATACAATTTGCAACATGTCTTCCGTTGGAACGAGTATCCAGGCTAGGGTTAGGTTTATGGGTTGAAAAAAAAAACGTACACAACTTTATTGATCTATTGTAGGTGCGGCTAATATATACTTGAAAACATTATGATTACTAAGCACTAATGCAAAATAATGAGTTCGAAGATTAATTGTGTTTGTATTATCAGTTATCAGGATTTATAATTGTGGGTTTACTTTTATATTTGAGCCTTTATCCACATTTCTAAATGTTTCTGTTTCAAAATAAACCAGGAACGATAACTGTGAACAGGTTTCTAGATTAGTGCTGCGCCCAAAATGTTATCGGAGCACTTCCGACACGCCCTTCACAGTGTGGTCGCTGTCGCAATGCCGCACTGTCTTCGACTATTGATACGAAAGTCTTGCAAGGCATACCTCAAACGTTAGGGTGAATAGAACGTGAACGTCATGCAAAATATGACTCATACTTAAAACGTAAAAATATAATCTTTAACGAAACAATCCCAGCCTCGTAAAATTAGTTGTGTTTTGTAGCCTGAGAAATGAATGACATTATTAATCTTAGCATGGTTGCTCTATTTTGGCAAACTAGGTACGAGAAATAGTTACACATATGTGACATAAATAAAATAAACTTTGATCAGAATTTTTTTTTTCTTTTATGTAGGACTAAATATACACACATTATATATATTTGTATGAGTATTTGAAATATAAATGTTAATTTGAAATTATCGTGCCGTATGAATTTCAGCTATCTCGTTGCATAACATGTAGTCTTTGGGTTGGCATCTAAGCAACTATTTTTTATCCAATCAATAACTGGAATGTAATTATGACCAGATGGGATTTCACGAAACAACATCAGTGGGCTAGTTTTGTAAACAACGACTGTACTCAGAATTTCTTACCAAGGACGACGACACTACCCCCTTTCCGGAGCATGTCCACCGTGCCCCCCCCCCCTCTCCCCAGAATGAAATAGAATTTTTTTTATTTACATAGAAAATATAGACTAACTAGCCCACGCCCGACTCTCCCCTTCTGGCAATTTAAATGCCCCCCCCCCCCTATGAAATTTAAGTATCCCCCACCCCTGGAAGAAAAATGTCTAAAGAAGGGAACACTGGCTGTATTTATACTCAGTTCACACAGGTAGACTGATACATCCACAAGAAGAAGAAAAAACGGTCACACTTACACATGCTACGAGACAGAGAGACCCATTAGCTAGGTCAACACATTTTTTTATACTTTTCATGGGGGGAATACATTCTCGATTTGTTTTAGAGTATGATTGCCCTTATGATCCACATAAGTAAAGCTATATAAGACGGGTTGTGGTTTTCTACAGTGTTTCTTACAGACTATGTTCTGGAAATTTTCGGGGGGGGGGGGGGGAGGGGGGGAAGGGGGTGCTAAAATTCACGGGGGGGGGGGGCGGGGGCGGACACTGTTGAAAGTATATATTTGCTATTAAATGCTATTAAATTCCATTTTATTCGTGGGAGGGGGGAGGGCTTTTTGGGTATACTCTCCCTACGCCCCCCCCCCCCCTGAAGAGATGCCTGGAAGAAACACTGGTTTTCTATCGTCACGTCAGCAGGCATAAGGTAGATCTTAGACTTTGATTCTATTTATTTAGACCTGGATGTTTTTTGTTATAGTTTATAAGCATGTGTAAGCTAAATCAAATGTTTTTATGTGGGGCCTATAACTTAATGAATTAATAAATCACGCCTACAGACCTACATAATTAATAATCATATTTACTAAATATTTATACACCTATATAATTGTTATATATGTGGCTATATAATATATATATATATATATATATATATATATATATATATATATATATATATATATATATATAATTATATCCCGTTATGCCTTTATAAATTTAGGACACAGATCTATATTTTATATTGGAATAATATTGATTCAACTTGAATCCAGTATTTACCTTGAAGATCAAGGTAAATACTAGATAACTTAATAAACCTGAATAATAATTAAATATCATTCACGTGCACTTAATGACTTCATTGAGTTTTTGGTCTAAATTAGACGAACAAAAGTCCATTAATTAATCTTTTTGTAATAGTAGCTATCTTAAAATAGGAATTACCTTACGTCTGTTGATTTGTTAACACACCTGTGCCACTACCTGATGCATTTTGCGAAACGGTTAACTTATCAACAAGTGCACCACTTGGGGCAACAGCTCAGTTAACTCGAATAAAAGGCGCAACGACTACACGCACAAAATGTCGACAAGTATAGATCAACTTAAATTTACCGGTCTCTAAGTTAAAAATTACCTTTTAGATAAAAGAAAATGTATCCCTGTCTCCCATGGCGAATAAAATCTCTAGAAACAAAACCACGTTTCTTCCATCTTAAAATACCCCACCGAGAAGAAATTCCTGACACACCTGAATGAAACGAACCGCTGGTTTGTTTAGGTCTCCTATCGAGATTACTGCTAAGAAGAGTTGCAGTTCCTTTATCTCCCCCCACCACACTAGCTATGCTAAACATTGAATATTCATGAGCGTGTGAACCGTCAACTCGCTGGTTGATCAACGACGGAAGGTCAAAGGTTATTTACAATTAATAATAGCGGAATTAAGAGTTTTGACTTTGCGTTGACATATGTTATTAAAAGTATTTGTTTAATTAACATATTGAGGACTATTTAATTTAAAGCAGAGCGATTCTTTACTGCAAGTGGAACTGTAACTTTGAAAATGTTCCTGATTTCAAAGCAAACTAACACTAAACACGACAGCTGTGTAAAGTGTAGGAAAGGCATCTTAGAGTTCTTTGACACCAGTAATCATCTATAATCTAAATCGCCTAAACCGGTAGGCCCATATGCCGAACTATATAAATCTAGGGTCACATACATTTTATTTCGTTAACATCTTGCATTTTTTTTTTTTCAATTTATCATTACAGCCAAATTCATCAGGTATAGATCTAGATCGTCAAAAATTATTGACGGGGATTTTTTTTTTAATAGAAGCGGAAAAAAAGGTAACGTCCCTGGGTGGGCTCGAACCACCAACCTTTCGGTTAACAGCCGAACGCGCTAACCGATTGCGCCACAGAGACTGTTGAACAATTGCAAAATAATTAACAACAGTTCCTTAATTTAAAAAGGAAAAAACAAAATTCTTATAAGAGTTTGTATAATCAACATCAACTGAATTCATGTTCATTTTTTAATTTTGTGGAATATTATTATGCATGATAATTATTTTATTAAATTTTATTATTATTTGCCTAGTCACCTTGACCTTTAAAATGGCGGGTTCCAGCTGAATTCTAAATTCGTTTCCGACTTTACGTCTACACTCACTTGATTTTACAATCTACATACCAGATTTAAATAATAATAAATAATAATAAATATCTAGATCTAGAGTCTAGGCCTTTTGTGTATCGTTATCATTATTTTGATAGTGTGCATCACTGATCCTTTGAACAATAATTTAGTATTTATTTGAATACAAAATATTCTAAACTTCAAGCTTGTAGACCTAATAATAATTATTTTATTATGAAAAATGCGAAAGTTTGTAAAATTAAGGTGAAGTCTGCTAAAAAAACCGAACTGGAGATAATGAAAGTGGAGTCTAGATCTACAAAATTCTGAATGATGCAATGTAGAGGTTTCATTGCAAACAACCTTAATAATAAGAACAAGATGCAATCTGAATCTACATTACGCACTCTTTTGTCCTTCAACGTAGATATCTACATCTAGAGTTCTAGAGGCTCAGACTAGTCAGACTTCTTAGTAAGAACTTAAGAAGTGGCTGAAGTAGGCCTACCAAATTTTATTTTCATCCTTCTGATGATCTGTTTGTGACACTTTTTAATTTAACTTTTAGATTTGGCTTTTGTCTCTCTCTCTCTTGTGACAGTCTTCCACACTGATTCTGGTGTCCTAATCTATTAACTATTCTATTCATGATTATATTATATTTTATTCAGGCAAATAACATGCTTTTGTGGGTAATCTATTATTGTTTTAGGGTAGATCTATGTAAAATCGTCCGCGACTAGTAATGTAAAAAACAGGTGACTCCTTAAATTTTATTAATTATTTAACTAGGTACTAGGATTTGGCTCCCGTTTTACGATGCGCGGCGAGATTTTCCTCCCGTTACCCAAATATCGAGAGTTGGCGGACGCGCGAGTGCGAGTGTTTCGTAATTTTTATTATTCTCCGTTTTTGCCTGGTCAATTTTATTGCGAGGAGTATTATTTTGAAGAAAAATGGACTTAGCGTATTATATATTTTTTAAAAATATTTTCATGGACTGTTTTTTATGGAGTGTTTCATTGAAAATAAGGTAAGTTTGACTTATTCCCTAAACTTCTCTATGGGCTCTACTTGAAATTTTATTGCATAATCTCCATTCTTATCCATTTTTCTCTATTACTGTAAAAAATCGTAATGATTGGATGTGTCTCTTAGCTGCAAAACGCTTCACAGTTTGGTGTACTGTTTGGGACTTTAACTGTTTACAGACTGGAAGTGAAAGTGAACCGGAAGTTGTCGGGTCTCGCTACTAACACTTGTGTGACTTAGTCTAGCTGATATGCTTGTATTACTGTAATTATGATTGTGGCGATCGTTGTTTTGACTCGGGCGATAATGGCGAACGCTGTTTTGATTCGGACAATAGTGGCGAACGCTGTTTTGACGCCGGCAAAAGTAGCGAACGCCTTTTTTATTCGGGCGTTAGTGGCGAATACTGTTTTGACTCTGGCGCTTATGGCGAACGCTGTTCACTGGTGATAGTACCGAAGGCATTTTTGACTCGGGCGTTGGTGGCGGGCGATGTTTTGACAATGGCGATCGTTGTTTTGACTCTGGCGATAGTGGGAAACGCTGTTTTACGCAGGCGATATTGGCGAGCGCTGTGTTGATGCTGGCGATTATGTCGAGCTTTGTTTTGACGCCCGCGATAGTGGCGACCGTTGTTTTGATGCCGGCGAGCGTTGTTTTGATGCCGGCGATCGTTGTTTTGACGCCGGCGATAGTGGCGAACGTTGTTTTGACGCCGGCGATAGTGGCGAACGTTGTTTTGACGCCGACGAGCGTTGTTTTGATGCCGGCGATCGTTGTTTTGATGCCGGCGATAGTGGCGAACGTTGTTTTGACGCCGGCGATATTTGACGCCGGCGATAGTGGCGAACGTTGTTTTGACGCCGGTGATAGTGGCGAACGTTGTTTTGACGCCGACGAGCGTTGTTTTGATAGTGGCGAGCGTTGTTTTGATGCCGGCGATCGTTGTTTTGACGCCGGCGATAGTGGCGAACGTTGTTTTGACGCCGGCGATATTTGACGCCGGCGATAGTGGCGAACGTTGTTTTGACGCCGGCAATAGTGGCGATCGTTGTTTTGATATTGACGGTAGTGGGGGGGGGGGGGAGAAAGGAAGGTCTGGTATTAACAATACACATTAAATATTTGGTGTATTCAGAAAACCTTTTTATTTTGATGGGAAGGCAAATAATGTACTTGTACTATTTACTTTTCCAGGTAGAACCTACACTTCTAAAACCAGCACATCTCTACAATATGATAAGCAGTTATATGGCCTAATGTCAGTTATATTGTCTAATGATGGAACACTATGTAAACGAGAAATTAAAACTATTAAAATAAATAATGTGTTTATCTTTTATTTAGGCAAACTAATTAATTTGTGATATGAACTATTTCCTTTAAAAACCAACCAATGTTGAACTTCTCCTGAAATGTAATATATTAACGAATAAGCAGAAACACATCTTTTTAAATTAAACTATATATATATATATAAGTATACCAACAAGTTTATTACATTTATACGAATAAAACACCTTACATTTCTAATAGATATAATTTGCCTTTTTTTTTTAAATTTAAATATTTGCGCTCAGTTTTTCAATGATGTCAGGTGTGTCGATGACTCAGCATTTTACATTTTTACCATCCTTTACCTATTTGTCAACTATTTAGATAGAACCATCACACACACTTATTTTAGAGCTTCACTCTAGTTAGTTGTTAGCTTTAGATTCAAATAGATTGAGCCTAAACAAATAGTGTATGAACAAATTTTGTATTTAAAAATAGGGGGTGTACCCTGTTCCACCCCTTATTTTTTGTCAAACAGATAGATTTAAATACATATTTTGATTGTTTCTGTTTGAGAATAGAGTCATCTAGAGCCAGGCAAATTTTGAGACTTAAGTGCTTAATAACTCAAATTTGCCATCATGTTGCATTTCACATCAACAAGACTTCGGTTTTGCGAAATTGTATAATTTATCAGCTTTGTAGCAGTTAAAACAAAAATCTTTTCAGTTATGAATATTATTTTGATTGTAATAACTGACACATCCATAGCTCATCATTCTCAGCAAGTTTGAGCTTAATTTTTCAAAGTGTTAAAATTTTAACTGAGATTTTATGAATGCACTGTATATGAAAAAATAGGGGGGGTACCCTGTTCTACTTCTGTTTTTGTTTAACTCTGCCCATAAATTTCTAATTTTATTGTTTATTATCCTTGCATATATGATAGATTAAGATATTGCAAAGTTATAACCAATTTGACCATATGGTTTACAAGCTAGGACAATTTTAGTAAACGCTTAAAAAAACTCTATCACAGAAATTGGGAAAAAACCTATGTTAAAAAAATCACCTTTTTTAATACGAAAAAAAATCATAACTATTTAACCGTTTGAGCTACATCAAAAAGGAAAACTGTTCTGTTATTGTAATTTTTTGCTCCTTTTAACTGTAGTGGTTGTTTCCCTATTAAACCAATTTTCAAAATTTATCCTAGTACCTATATTTAACATTTTGAGGAGGATTTATTTATGTTTTGAAAAATACAAAAATGTTCCCTTGTTTCATTTATGTACCTGTTTTTAAACAATTGAATTAGAACTTTTCAGTAATAAATGAAGACTAGAATCTAGATTCTAGTGATGTTTCCAACAGATGCAACCATGCTCTTTTACTTATAGCGCAAGATTCAGGGGAAGCCACTCTAGCTTTCAGATGGCCGCTTTTTATATAGCAAATTCTGCTCGCAAACACTGCTGTTTAAAGTTAATTTCTTGCCTTCTATTAAAGCCTTGACGATGAGGTAACTTTTTCGTACATTACTAGCCGCGGACGATTTTACATACCTAAAATGATAGATTACCCTTTTGTTTAACTAATACTACTAGAGTAATACATGATCTAATACTGTTTAAATAGTAGTTAGTAAAGTAATATAATAATATATAAATAGGCCTAAAAATAATTTTTAATAAGTCTTTTTATAAGTAAATAATACAACTAAGTAGGCCCAATTAGTAATAGTATCTAGATCTAGATCTAATCGTGTCGAACTGACTAATAATTTAATAAACCCTCCACCTTCAAGAGTGTAAACTGTAAACCTTAGTGGGGCTTTAATAAGGTGTATCTAGATCTGGAGATAAAATTAGTCTAGTATCCATTTGTTTTAGCTGAATTGATATCACATTAGTTTTTTAGTTTTCCAAGAAGTGTAGGTGTATACTTGCTAACACTGCTTTTATACTTTCGACATGTAGGCCTATACTTATACTATACAACATGGCTTCCGAAAAAACTAAAGTTTTTTTCTAGATGTGTATAGTATACAGTATACATTTTGCAAGTGTAGACATGGTATAACATTGTACTCACATGGAGAGTGTAACTTTGTGACTTCACTATAGCCCAAATATGAAGGGAAGATGGGTAAAAATCTTGTTACACTTTGCTGCTGTCATTTAAGGACAATCCTGTAGGGTTAATTGGTGGTTGAAGTATCAATTTGGAATGATCGGGTTGAGGATTGTAAGATGCTATTATAAACCTTAAAGTTTTAGGATACCTAACCAGTTGTGGAAAGTTAAGTAAGGGCAGCTTATTGCTGACACTAGAAGTCAAAGAAACAGAAGCACTCTTTAACATTTTCCTAAGGACCCATCAGACCTGAAAGAATTCTTTACTTTTTTAATCGTTTAATTTATAAGTTCAAAGTTTCTGTTAAGCATCTAGCTCAGAATTTGAAAGAATTATTGAATATTTTGACTTATTTTTATATATTCACAGCTGATGTACGACACTCAGAGCATGCCACATATCCATTGGTGATATCTCAATGCGTTTCATACTTCTCCACCTTAGAAGGTATAGTGCATCAGCAACATCTCTTCCTGAAAAAATGGTTAGAGTTTTGAATGTTGCTGAGAAAAATGATGCTGCTAAATCTTTAGCGAATGTTCTTTCACATGGTCGATGTAGAAAGGTATATTTTTTCTTAAGTTTCATGTTTTTTTTTATTTAAAAAATAAATATTAGAGGTTTTAGCTTTGTGTTCTGGTTTAAAATACTGACATTGTCCTAGTGAATTGTGTACCAGTTGAAGAAGTAGATGAAATAGCAATACTTACATAAAACAGGCTTATGATACTCCATGTGCTCTATCAATTAATACATAATTGAAAAATGATTTTCCCTTTATTTTCTAATAATGCTTTTTTTATACATTATATTTCTTAAGCGTGAAGGGTTCTCAAGGTTCAACAAAATTTATGAATTTGAGTATAAATTAATGAACAAAGATGTGACTATGACCATGACTTCAGTTTCTGGACATCTGCTTGGTCTAGAGTTTACTGGGTCATTTAAAAAGTGGTATGTAATTTCCATTGTTTTTTTTTTCTTCATGTTTTCTCAGAATAAAAGATGTTTCATTTAAGGTGGTTGATTAAATATATTTCTCTTTACTATTTATCAGGGGAGCCTGTAATCCTGTTGATTTGTTCAGTGCTCCAGTCATGAAGCATTGCCCCCAAGATTACAATGATATCAAGGTACATTTTATATGATGTGGAAGATTCATTGGAGAACTTTATTAACTGGAAGTAAATGATAATGTCTATGTAGAATATGTATTGTTTACCCTACATTAAGTTCTTGAAAAATCTTTTTTTATACTGTCAGAGAACCTTAGAACAAGAGATCAGAGGCTGTCAATCTTTAATTATTTGGACTGATTGTGATCGTGAAGGAGAAAATATAGGCTTTGAAATCATTCATGTTTGTCAAGCAGGTAAAAAATCTAATGTTAATTATTAAGTCACGTGATCAAAAAAACTACTCATATGTATTGACTATCTTGTCTTAATAATTTTGGTTTTAATTATTGTGTAAAGTGAAAATGTTTTTTACATTTGTTTAAATAGTTACTGGGACTTAGTGAAAGAATATATTTTACCGCCACTGATTTTAAGTTGTTTCATTAATGAACTATTTATTGTCACTCAGTAAAACCGAACATTAAAGTTTATAGAGCAAAGTTCTCAGAGATCACACCTCAGTAAGTATGACTAAAGTTTTTAGAAGAAAATTAAAATTCTAACTGGTTTATACTCAAATTATAATCACACTTTACTCTCTGTTTGTGCCCTCATTCTAAACATTGATTTTGTTTTTTGTTTGTCTTATTATTTATACACTTTTTTTACATTTAATATAGAGCTGTTGCCAGAGCCATCAATAATTTAGCTGCCCCTGATGCCAGAATTAATGATGCAGTTGATGTTCGCCAAGAATTAGATCTACGTATAGGTGAATTAATTATTTTTTGCTTTAATGAAAACCTGGCAATATTGCAGAAATCTGTCTTTGTTGATGAGTAACAATTACTTTTTACTTAATTTCATGCACTGTCATAAACACTGCTCATTACTTGCATTAACAATTATTTTGTTTTGTTTATTTAGGAGCAGCTTTTACAAGATTTCAAACTCTGAGGCTGCAAAAAACTTTCCCTCAGGCGTTATCTGAGCAGCTGATCAGTTACGGGAGTTGTCAGTTTCCTACTTTGGGATTTGTTGTAGAGAGATACAAACAAGCTCAGGCATTTGTTCCTGAACCATTCTGGAAGATAAGAGGTAATTTTAAAATATTGATATTTGAGGAAAATCAAATCATTTTAATAAAATAATGTGTATTGTAATTAATAATTCACAGTATTAAACGTAGAACAGAATCCTCACTTGGTCATTGTAAAAGTAACATAATTCTGTAAATTACTACCTACTTAAATACCTTTTTTTTAAAATAGTTTTTCTTATGAATAGTATTTTAGTTGTTAATGTGACTCATCCATTTTCTTCTCCTACTAGTGTTACATCAACATGATGAAGTTAAAGCAGATTTTAGTTGGCAAAGGTTAGTAAATTTAAGTCTCTGAGATCCACCACAAAAGAAATTTACTTTGCATCAATGGTATATTTTTCTACTATTAAAAAAAGTAAGTAGGGCCTATTTTAAAAGATTGATATTATTTTTTTAATCTCAGCCATTAATATTTTATATGCTCATTCTTTTAACAATGTGAAATTTCATACCTTGCTTTTTTTTTTTCAGAAATCGATTGTTCAATTTTTTAGCATGTCAAGTTTTATATAACCGTTGCATTGAAGTAAGAAATATAACCTAAGTTAAAAATGTAAAATAAATTTGCCATTATTTAATATAGAGTACATTTTATTGTCTGTTATAATAAACTTATTTTTATTAAAGATATCGCTTTTATTTAGAGCTAATAATTTTTCAATTGTGACTCCTAAACTTATGATGTATAGTTAACTAGCCATATTCGGAAAATTATAATTCAAACTATTTCAACTTTCTCAACAAATATTTGTATTCAATTTTTCATCAGAATCCTGTAGCCACTGTAATTGATATAAAAAGTAAGAGCAAAAGCAAATGGCGACCACAGGCATTGGATACAGTTGTAAGAGAAATTACTATAAATCTGAAATTTGTAAATCCTTTAGTAGCTTGTACTCATATATGTGTTTAATTTTCTTTTAACTTTTTAATGATAAAAGTGTACTTTGAATAACATTTTGTATTTTTTGTTACCACTTTTTTTATAAAGGAATTAGAAAAATTAGCATCAAGAAAGCTAAAGATTAATGCCAAGGAAACAATGAGAATAGCAGAACATCTCTACACACAAGGTTTCATTAGTTATCCACGTACTGAAACAAACATTTTCCCCAAAGAAATGGATTTGGCAGCTCTAGTTTCTGAACAAACAAGAGATCCAGATTGGGGAGGTAATTCGATGAATGTTGATATTTTTGTTTATATTTAGCTTGTTTCTTATTTTTCACTTGTACTTACAGATGTTTTTACTGCTTTAAATGAATAATTATGCCCAATTTTTAAGCAACTAGAACCCAGTGGTATTATTTACTTAACTTTTTTTTTTTCAAACAATATTAATTTAGTGTGTTTTTGCTTTTTCCTAGAGTTTGCCCAGCAAGTTTTAAATAATGGGGTTAATCCTAGAAATGGTACCAAAACTGATCAAGCTCATCCACCTATTCATCCATTGAAGTATACTGCTACCCTACAGGTGAACTTTCAAAATTCTTGGTTACATTTTTTAAAATTAATTATTTATCGTATATACTTTACTGATATCATTTCATGGTTTTACTTGTCAAAATTAAAGCATGATTGTTCTAGTGTGAAATTGTGTACAGTTTATTTGCAGCAATTCTAACAAACACTGTAAAGCATTTCTAAATAGTAAAATGAGTTTTTAAAACTTAGATATTTGAAATAGGTTGTCTTTCTTTTTCACTTTTTTTTTTTTAATATAAAAAAATATTAATTTTCATATTAAGAATGTATTTTACTATGTTCTTATTTTCTATTTAGGCTTGAAGTTTTTAATTTAAAAATCTGTTGATTTAAGAGCACTATCTCTGATGGGTTCCTAATTAATCTAAAAATTTAAATTATTATTATTACAAAATGATAGTGTTGAGTCTAAGTAATTATTTTAATGATCGAATACTTTATTTTGTTTAGGGTAATGATAAAAAGGTGTATGAATTTATAGTGCGGCACTTTTTGGCTTGTGTATCTCAAGATGCTCAGGGACATGAAACTATAGTAGATATCAACATTGCAGATGAAATAGTAAGCTTTTTTTTTTTAGCAAATTTTTATTTGAGTTTTGTGATGGAATAAGAGTTTTTGTACCTGGATTAACGTTTAACTAAAATTTTAGTTTTCAGCACAAGGTTTGATGATTCTAGCCAAAAACTTTCTAGATGTATATCCTTATGATAAATGGAATGCTAAAGTAAGTTAAAATATACAGATTCTACCTCATTTTTTCATAACAATCTTTACCTTAATTATAATTTAGAAACCTTGAAGGAATTAAAAACTTGAATGTAGTCATGTATGAACTTAAGTTATTTTGATCCATGAGTTTCTCTAAACTAAACAGGAAGTTCCACTCTATAGACAGGGAGATCAGTTTGAGCCAAACTCAATAGAGGTAATTAAGATTTCTAGATAGTAGTTACACTTCAACTGTACGGCTTATTTATACTTACATTGACTAATGGAGATATTGCTTAAAGATAATAATTTAATATGTATAAATATGGTTTGCTGACTTTTTCTAATTCTGCAGATAGTTCCTGGAGAAACAAGTGCACCACCTCTACTAACTGAAGCTGATCTAATCTCCTTGATGGAGAAACATGGCATTGGTAAAGATTTTAATCACAAAGTATTTCATAAATTTGATAAACCATAAAAATAATGTTCTATACTTGTAAGGCTAAATTTGGCTGGAAAACATTTTGTTATAACCAACAGGTACTGATGCAACTCATGCTGATCACATTGAGACAGTTAAGGCTCGTATGTATGTAGGTCTAAGACCTGATGGTAGATTTGTACCTGGCCAATTAGGCATGGGATTAGTTGAAGGTAGGCTATTTTTATTCTTTTGATAATTAAATGAACATAAGTGTGGGCTAGATTGCTTTCATCAAATTAGAGTTTAATTTTTTCAGTTGGTATTGTTTTTCATCACCCTTTTCAGGTTATGATAGTATGGGTTATGAAATGTCCAAACCAAATTTAAGAGCAGAGCTAGAAGCAGACCTTAAATTGTAAGTATTCACATTTTACTTTACTTTTATTTTATTTTCAGGACACTTTATATTTAAGGCATTAGAAAATGTATACTGTATTAAAAACTAATAGGGTCAATTATATTTAAGTTAAAAGCAGCTGTTTGACTGGTTTTGTGATGTTAAATATATCCGTGGTGGTGTTTTTTCAATAACTTTCCCCTTTTGTTTATTCACATACAGAATATGTGAAGGGAGAAAAACTAAAGAAGGTAATGTAGGATAAACATAGGTGCTGGATAATTTACCAGCTTCAACTTAGTTAAATTAAAACGTTTCAATAAGAGATGTCTTAAATTCTGCTCTTTGTGACAATGTGGTTTACACTAGGTTTTAAGTAGGTTGTTACATGAATAGTTTTGTAGGTGTATGTTATGGTAAACTAAATGCAAATTTCTTAATTTGAACCAGAGGTCTTAAGTGTCCAGATACAGAAATACAAGGAAGTGTTTATTGAAGCATGTAATCAGGTATGCCAACAACTTGGAGATAAACATAACTAAAATAACTGCTTAAAATGAATACTTAAGAATTTTACCCCCCAGTTTTAAGCAAATTGGATTGGTTTAGCTTTGGATGTGTATTTTTGTAGATTTTAAAACATTATTTCTTGTTATTCTAATGAAGATCTCTTGGCAGTAGCGTACGCAGGGGGAGCAGCCGCTCCCCCTCTGGCCATTTTCAGCAAAGTGGCGCCTTTTCGGAAACTTTTTAAAAATATTTTTGGTCGGCACATCTATGTAAATCACAAGATTTCTTTTCATGCAGCAATTAAGCATTATTGTAATGGTTTAGTAGTGTCTACGTTTACAACACGTATTAACAGCTGCATCAGTTTGCCATTCTAAAAATAACCAATACGATGCAATGCAATGTTTAAAAAACATCTACGGGTAGTATCCAAGGTATAATGTATTTCTTTACGAATAATTGAATTAGAAAAATGTTAAACATAAAACTTCACACATAATTACTTTATATATACAGTTTGAATCGTGTGATTAATTTTAAAAAAATTACAATACAGAAAAAAATACAACTGATGTGGCACATCTATTTAAATTTACTAATGGGCAATCTGCGTAGTGGTGGGGAAATTTTGACAAGGCCAACAGCGTCATCACGATGAAGTAGTAGTATTATTACAGTTTGGGCGATGGTGATTACTATTACAAATTATATGAAACAGTTACAACCCCCTCCCCCATGGACCCCTCTGTAAAAAAATATTGTCATAATACCACTGCTACATATTTAAATTTATTTATGAATCAGTATATATGTGTAATTGAATATGTATGTTCATCTAAAAACTGACGCTATGTTCACTCTGAGTTGGTTATGCCACCCACCAGGTAAAACTCTGTGAATATTGTTTTTGCAATTACCAGTAAAAACGGGTGTGATCAATACAGTGATCTAACCCATACCTGATCACTATGTTAAAAAATTATCTTTAAAGAACACAAAAAGTCAATAGATAATTAAAAGATGTATGAACTGAACTAAAAGACCGATAGTTTAGTTAAATGTAAGCTATTATTCCGAAACGAGCCGACCCGCCGCGTATCATACGCCGCTATTTAGTTGTTTTATTTTCTACTTTTCAGTAATTCATAATTTGTGAATTCGACAGTACCAATGCTGCCACAGAAAATATTTGCTTTAAAACACTACCCCCCCCCCCCTTTCCCCTAACCCCGACCCTACACCCCCCCCCCCCCCCCCCCCCCCCCGTGAAAGCAGCCTCCTCTTAGTTATTTCTTAGTTACCTCTTGTAAGTTTAAAATCGAACTAAATTATCTGCCCCTAATAGAAATATGTAGATATTTCCCCTATTTCGCTTGTCTTAATTAATGTCCCAGGAATTATTATGTAAAAATATTTTTTTACAAGAATTACAAAACAGATTGTGTTGAGTTTATTGTTTTCGGTTGTAGTGTATGTATATATATATATATATATATATATATATATATATATATATATATATTGTTTTTTTTTGTTTAGATTGACACATATTTTGTTTTGTCGGGCTACATTGTGTGTTTTGTTTTCTTATTTCTTCAAGTGCTACTTACAATTTATTTTGCATCATAGCGAAGTAATGACATACAGCTAGTAATTATATATATATATATATATATATATATATATATATATATATATATATATATAGAACATGTTAAAAATTTGTCGCCTTTTTTTGCTCATTTCGCTCCCCCTACAACGAAAACCTGGATACGCCTCTGTCTCTTGGTTTTGTTTATTTGTGCTGTTCTTATGATTTGTTTGCCTGACACTTAGTGCAGCTTCTGTTGTTTTATTATTACTAGGCACAGAAACTTGACGAAGCTTTGTCACAATATCTGGGTGAGGCACAGGAAACTCCCCAGACTGCAGGTAACACTAAAGCCATTTTTTTCAACCAATTCACATTTACCATTTAACTTTTTTATTCTATTGACACTGCATACTCTGTAAAATAATTTTTTAATCTTTAGGCGAAGTAGCTACAACTACATCAGTTGTAATGACTTGTTCAAAATGTGGAAGTCCAATGACATTACGCACAAAGAAAGATAATAAAGGGTAATGTTACAAGTAGCAAAATTATTTTTCATATATATTTCTTATTTTGTATGATTGTACATAGCCAAGACTTACAAAAATACAGTTTAACAATATACATTGATTTTATATTACTCTTCTAACTCTTCTACTTGAGATAGCTAATTTATTTGTTGATCAGTTACCAGCTAAAAATGGAGTATTTTATAATTATTTTAACAGCTACTACATAGGGTGTTCAGGTTTTCCTGAATGCAAATCCTGCATTTGGTTGCCAAATTTTGTTTTACATGCAGCAACAACAGATCAAATCTGTCAGTTGGTAAGTCACTTAAATAAAAATAGTTCTTCTTTTTATTAACTTTTATTTTAATGAGACAGATCCACAAATACGGTAACCATTTTAATTAGTTAAACTATTAATAATCATCAGTGCCAACCAAGATCTGTAACCAAACTTCACTTTAAGTTCAAACCAGGCAGTGTTCCAAGTACAATTTCTAATGAGTAGGTTGACTTGATACTTTAATTTTGTTGGAACTAACATTAAAATATTATTATTAAAATAGTAGTTTACTTCTTTTCTAGGATAAGGATTTTACCATGAAGGGTGCTTCACATCTGTTGTTAGCATTTAACTACAACTTCTTATTTTTAAATTGCTGAACCCTTTGACTGTATTCTAATTTTTTTAATGATGTCTTTCAGTTATGTGGGCTGTATAGGTGGATGTGACGAGATGTTAACTGAAACTTTAGGTGTTAGAATTGCCTCTAGTCAAGGTGATGTTTGTCTTTATTATACTTGGGATTTTTTATTTATTAAAAAAACACATTTATCAAAGCACAATCTGAAACATGTGCTTCTGATAGAAATCCATCCATCTTAAGTTCACATCTGTTTTGGTAGGATAAATTGACAAAACAGTTCAAACATTTTATATTTGAGTAACTAAGCTATATAAAGAAAATACTGATAGTATAGATATAGATAATAGAAACACATTTTTTAAATGTTGAAAATGTTTCAAAATGTTAGCCATGCCATCAGTTTAAAAAAAAGTATTGAACATTGTACAAATAACCTGGTTTTCACCATGAATACTAAGAGATGTAATTAAATTACTAGATCACTGAGCAGATTGTCGTTAAGTTTGTGTTGTGACAGTTTAACAACTTCAAGTACCGTAATAACATCCCTTTACATGTTTCAGCTGCTGCAACAAATCCACTCATGCCACGCACTGAAACAAGCACTCACACTCCCAGAAACTCTGGCCAACCTAGTTCCAGACCTACCAATACACCAGCAAACAGGAAAGGAGCCGCTCCGGCCAGTCAGTCTCAAACAAACCCAAACCCCATGTTTAAAAGAACAGTCTCCACACTTTCATCATCGAACAACAGTTCCACACCTGCTGCTCGAAATAGCAACAAAAAAGTTGTGACAAGTCAGGAGCCTGCCCAGTTCCTGTCTCTGATGAATGGCCACAATCAAACACCATCTAGTAGAAGTGTGTCGTCTGGCAGTAGATCTTCATTTACAAATGGTAGAGATTCAGGTAGCAATGTCAATAGGACTCAATCCACTTCATCCTTTTCCACAAGTTCCATGGATGACAGTGACAAAGCTATAGTGTGCAGCTGTGGAAAAGATGCAGTGCTTTTGACCGTAAGAAAGGAAGGCCCCAACACAGGTCGTCAGTTTTACAAGTGTTCTGGTCAAAATGGTGCCAGTTGTAACTTTTTTCTTTGGGCTGATGACAACGCAGCCCAGCAATCAAGTCAAAGGTTAGTAGCTAAGTACCCTAATTGGCTTATCTGTAACTTTGAAGTAATGTTCTGTTAAGCATGCTTTTGACTTTTATTTCAGTTTCTCAAGCACTCAAAATCAAACAGCATCTAGGAATAACAACTCATTTCAAAGTCCAAATGTAAATAATCGAAATTTTGGGCCCCCTAAACCTTTTTCATCAAATGGGAGTGAAGAAATACTGTGTAAATGTGGGATTCCAGGAAAGTCGTAAGTCTTCATTACTTTTATTTATCAGAAAAAAGAGAAGCAACAATTGCTAGCAGAGATGGTTTATTGTAATCGAAAAGTGTCTAATATAAACTTATCTTTTCAGCCTGGTTGTTCTAAAGGAAGGCCCCAACAAAGGGAGGCCTTTTCATTGCTGTAGTAAACCACAAGGACAAACTTGCAATTTTTTTCAATGGGCTGATGAGGATGGATCAGGTAATTAAATTTGTGGTGGACATTCATTGTGCCTTTATTCTCAGTTTTGTTGGTCATCTTTTACCTTGTGAAAACAATTTTTTAGCCAATGCAGTAATGTGCCATTAATAATTAAATATATATTCTTACAGTGAAACAAGAAAGCAGTGGATTTGCAACCCCCTTTCAACCCAAAGGTGCTCAAGGTTATCAGAACAGTAGGAAACGACCACCATCAAGCCCCAGTCAAGGTCCTAAGCAACGAAAAGCTCCTGTGTGTGGATTCTGTGGAAAGCCTGGTACATTTTTTATTACTTTTAATGAAGCTATTTCATGGCTTATTGTTTTTACCTTAAGATCTTGAAACGGTTTAGCAGAGTCATTTCTTTTTACAAGGTTTTATTTAGTTTGCAACATATGTTTGTAGCAAATCTATTAACTTAATGTTGACCCACTTCTATTGTAGCGATTTCAGTCAAGCTTTCCAGTTACATTCCATACAAGTCTATACGTTTTTTTTATTTCATTAGATTTTTTAATTTAAGGGGAGATAATAAAATTAAATCACTTAATAGATTACCACATTCAATAACAGAAGGGGAGATAACTACCTAGATTCTAGCTGCAATCACACTAACAACAGTCTAGTGAAGTGTGGTTCACAAGAATATTTACAATCGTAGAGACTGATGATCTAATGAAGGCTATTAAGGGCAGATAATACAACTTGCTGTCGTTTGTAAAATATTGTCATGGACAGCTGCTTTCACTGTGCAGATAATCAATCTTATTTCAGATATCGTGAGCTACTGATGGTGTTTTAAAGCAAATATTTTTAGTCATGTCGACTTCATAAATTAGGAATCACTAAAAAGTAGAGAATAAAACATATATAAAAAACTATAGCAACAAGCTTTTAAATGCACTGAAAATAAGGAAATAAAACTCATTCATTATTGCTTTGGTTGCTAACTTGTGTAGATCTAATGAGCTACCAAAGCTTTTATAGATTAGTTTTATTTCATTATTTTCAGTGCATTTAAAAGCTTGTTACTATAAAGTTTTTTTTTTTTATTTGTTTTATTTTTATTACCACTTAGCTTGTGGTTTCTTTCATGTATACAACATACCATTGCCGTTGATTTTTTTTCTAAAACTTTTTCTATTATTCTCAGGTCATAGAAAACCCAAATGTCCAGAGAGGAATGAAGAATTTTGAAAAAAATAAAACAGAAGTACTGTGATAAATTTGTTAAAAATGTAAATAGATGTTCATGTCAGATAATCATTTAAAGCAATAAAAACATGTACATTTTCTATGTATTTCGATTTTCAATTACAAGTCTCATGTGCTGTCTATACAAATTAAGAGCTTACAATTTAACTTACATAACATTCAAACACCACAGGAAGAAAAACTAAACTTATAAACATTCTTTATTACACATATAAAGATATTTATAATATTATATACATATGTACACTGAAAACCTTTTTCTGCAGTTGTCATAATAATCACAAAACACATCATTCGACAATTAAGTCCACCTTTTAAAAAATATTTTTGGAAACTAAATATATCACTACAAACCTAAATAACCTATCAAATGTAAGGAAACAAGATTCACTCTGATTGCAAAAAAATGTTTGATTAGATTTTGGTTTACGTCAGTACTAACAACACTATATTTGTAATGTGGTATTAAACTTTAAAGATTACGCCATCTAAATATTTTTAAACAACTTTATACTGTCATTTAAGTTAATAGATTTTATAAATATATCAGTAATTTTCAAACAAATCGTCCATGTATACATCTCTTAGATATCTCACAAAAGCTAGGAAAAAATAGACAACCAAATCAGCGTTTCTTAGACAATTTTGTTTCTCTCAACTGTTTGAGTTCATTCTCATGAAAGTGTGAAACTGCTGATGTTTCTGCAAGCTGGGAAGGAAAATATTGTTAAACCATTTGAATTGAGATTTGATTTATTTTCTATAACAAATTAGTGAATGAACATGTGTTTTATCAAAATAATTGATGGTTTAATGTTTAATTTTGTATGGATACTATTATCATTAGGTCATAAATAATGCTATAAAATTTAATTATTTTTTTTAAAGTGGCTTATAATTTTCACTATCTTGGTGCATTGATAGTAATAAGAAAAATAAAGGTTTAAGTATGTCAGATACATTTTTTAATTACATACCATGTCTAACAGGATGTCAATCTTAAGTTTCAATAAGTTGTTTTCTTCATGCAATGTTTGATTGGCTTTTCTTAGTTTCATAACTTCCTTGTGGCTAGAACCACCTCCAGCTGTTTCTGTAGGAAACAACAATTACTTTTACTTACTTAAGGCACAATGGTAGGACTAAAAAGCTTTTATGTGTAAAGCTCTAAACTCAAAGTCAGAGAACAATTATAATAGAATAACTACTTACCATTTATCCAAAGACCATTTTCAAATGCAACTTCATGGCCACCAAGACTGACTTTTACTGCACCATAATCTAGACCAAACTCTGCTTTTGATTCAGTTGCATCCAACTGAAGATTTGACAATGACTGTGCACGTCTTGGTGGAGTTTTTTTTGGCGAGAATTTGTTTCCAAATAAACCTAGCGGCATGATGCTGTAAGAGATTATGCAAATATTAGCTTTAAATAAAGCACAAAACTGCTAAAATAAAATAAATTTAGTATGTTGCTTAGCGACATGTAACACAATCTAATCAAAACATGGCGTCATCAATTTTATGGAGTCCTATCTGGGATGAGTGGGAACTAATAATGTAATAAGTAAAATGTAGGCCGTAATAGTCACACATCTCATTCATTATTTTAATGCAGGATTATAATGTAATGGATATTTCTTTATATTTTATTTTTCAATTGCATTCATTAAAGAGTAAAGACACATTAAATATTATAGGCCTACTTTAAGTAATCTAATGTTCCACTTTATTGAATTTGACAAGAGTTCCGTATCAGATCAGTCTAGTATCAGATGCCTACTATAAAAATACTTCATTAAAATTAAATGAATATTCCGAAGTCTTGAACTAGATCTAGATCTATACAGTCACTACACGAGTAGATCTATTCTATACTCAGTATAGTATTAGTATCAGTACACTTGAATACACACACACAGCTTGACACAACAAGTCACAACTTGCAGTCAGTAGGCCAGTAGTAAACACAACAAATTAAAAAGAGGATTTTAGTACATTACATTTAGTAGATCTAAAAATGCAATGAAAATAATATAATTTTAAAAATCGTTAAACCAAATGTTATTAATATAGATTTGTAGTTAATTCATAGAAAGGAAAAATGTTAATAACCTATGAAGTTTTTTTTCAGGTAAAAAAAAGAAGAGTTGCTAATGAAAGCGGAGTCCAGGGACTGATTGTTCATCTAATTGCCATGAAGTAACTAGCGACAAAAACATGACCAAAACCACGTACACTAAACGTGGACGTAAAAAATTAAAGCATTAGTATTCTAAAATGGTTACGGTAGCTTAACTTCAAGCTTTACTCTAAACCCAATTCCCATAAAGCCGGATCTCTTAAGTTTAATAAACTGATGTCACAAGGTCCACATAATAATTACATAAATAAACCGTGCGCCGTCATAACGGCCCCGACATAAGAGCCCTGTCTAATCGACCCCGTCAAAAGGGCCAGCGACAAATGGACCCCGTCATATAGGCTCCATACAAATGGGCTCCCATCATGTATACTCCCGACAAAAGGGCTCCCGTCATTACGACTACCGACAAATAGTCTCCGGTTATTTTTACTCCCGACAAAAGGGCTCCTGTCAATGCGGTTTCCGCAGAGGCTAAGTCGCCCGGCGAAACGTCTCATTGATTATGACCCTTGCCAGTAGGACCCAGTGGCGTAGCTAGGATTTTTCGGCCCATAAATTATCAAAAATTATCAGTGGGTCCCTCGTCAGCCGTTAGACTACAACGGAGTTAACATGGGCAGCGAAGAAATCGACTACTACTTACGATGAAGGGTTTTAAATAATATACATTTTCTGTACATATTGTATTTTATACGTCCTGATTGTGTATTCATACTATATTATTATGTTGACCTACTACTGCTACTACCACGTAGTTTTGAAAAAATGTTACCGGCTTACAGTTGTATAAGTTTGTTTTTTTAAGTAACCAAACACAGTAGCGTCACAAAGCGGGTCAGAGGTGCGGTCCGCATCGAATGACAACATTTCGTCGGGACAACATGACAAATTATTGTACAATTTAATGTCAAAGCTAAAATAATAAAAGTTTAGTGAGCGAGGAGTGACACCCCACCGAAAATGCAAAACTGTTGGGGGATGGGCTAATTCTCTTAATGGTTTGCACGACAATGCGACAACACTTGTAGTGTTATTATTTCGGATGGGCCCTGTTCGACCCGCCCCCACTGAATGCCACTGCCTGTACGCAGAGGCGTAGCGACCCTCCCCGGCGCCCGGGGACATACTTTCAATTTGGCGCCTCCTTGGGAGCAAATTCTTGATTTGCACCCCCCCTCGAACTTTTCATTTAACCCCCCCCCCCCTCAAATTTTCGATTTGCACCCCCCCCTCGAACTTTTCATTTGCACCCCCCTCAAACTTTCGATTTGCACCCCCCCCCCCTCGAACTTTTCATTTGCACCCCCCTCAAACTTTCAATTTGGCACCCCCCTAAGGTCGGCGCCCGGGGACATATGTCCCCCCCCGCCCCCCCCCCCCCCTCGCTACGCTACTGCCTGTACAGTAAGCTTTTTGGAACTTCAAAATTATTTCTGTAGTAGAAAAAAAACTGGAGTTCCATTTTTAAAAATTATTTATATAAAACAAATATTAAAATTCCAATGTAAAAGTTTTATTTTCTAAAAGAGGAAAAAAGGACCCCTATTTTCCTCGGGCCCATATGCCTTGGTTGCGATAGCTTTACGGTAGCTACGCCAGTGGTAGGACCTCTTCATCAATACTCTCAAATAATACAACGTATGTAGCTCTTGTTCCACTGGCCTTATTTTTTAATATTATTTTATCTAGTATAAGAGATAGAATGTTTAAAATTTAAGTGATCTAGCTATGACTTCCATAAAAGGAGTAGGTTTTGGGCTGTTCTAACTTTGTGGGGAGAGAAGTACATGCAAAAATTTATCTTCGGGATCCTTGAAACATCATGCAAACCATACTTTTAAACTTCTGTGCTAGCTTTTAATCAACAGATTTTTACGTTTATAAAAATTAAAACATTTTTAAATTCGCTGTTCAGATAGCGATTTCTTTGTGAATTGATGTTGGTTCATAAAAAAAGTTTTTCATTCAGGCATTTAAAAGAGGTTATGGTCGTGGTGGAGAAACTGCTTGTGGTTGGTGGGTTGGACAAAATACGATTTGTCTTGGGTTATTTTGTCGGAAGCCAATATAACGTGAGCCCATTTGTCGGGAGCCAAGATATCGGGAGTCCGTTTGTAGGGAGCCACTATGTCGTTAGCTCATTTACCGCCAGCTTTTTGTTGTGAGCCCAGAGGCGTAGCGAGGGGGGGGGGGGGGCGGGGGGACGACATATGTCCCCGGGCGCCGACCTTAGGGGGGCGCCAAATTGAGAGTTTGAGGAGGGGGTGCAAATGAAAAGTTCGAAGGGGGGTGTAATTGAAAAGTTCAAGGGGGGGGGGGGGTGCAAAAAATCGAAAGTTTGTCCCAGGGCGCCGGGAAGGGTCGCTACGCCTCTGTGTGAGCCCATATGTCGCGAGTCAATTTGTCGGAAGCCCATTTGTCGGGGTTATTTTGACTGGGTCGTTTTGTCGGGGGCCAATTGGTTGCGCAGTTGTTTTTTTTTCATACAGAAAGTGAATCTATATCATTGCGGTAATTCACTTATTGGATATTTTGCGGTGATTGGTATGACCTTAGTATTGTGGATGTAAACATGCCAGAAAAAAACAATTGTTTTCGCTAGACTCAATATTGAACGCAATGACAATATTTTACGTTGCATTATTACAAACTGTAAATTAACTGATGTGTAGAATTCGTTAATAAAATAATAGATCATAGTTATAGTAGGCTAGGTTAGAGTACAGTACAGTTACAGGTACAGACGACGGACACTTGACTTGAGTCGATTGTCGGTATTCTTTCTACTCAACTGCGCTACTGCGCTAATCACTCACCAAGTGATAACTAACTTAACTAACTTACTAAACTTAAACAATAGTGAGATTGACTAGATCTCGAGATCTACTCTTGACTTCTTAAATTAAAGTATTAAAATTATTATTTACTGAAAGTGGTGTCTGTTTATGAGTATTCAATAGGCCCTATACTATAGTAATAGTAATAGTTTATTAATAGCAACTGAATAACAACACAGCCAGCACAGCAAGGTGCTGCAAGGTACACACATAGATCTACATAAATTATTAAATAGTAAGTGTCACATAGTCACATAGTGATAGTGACTGATGATAGTCATATTATAATTAATTAATTAGGTAGGCTAATCTATTGTTTTAGGTACGTAAAATCGCCCGCGATTAGTAATGTGAAAAACAGGTGACTCCTTAAATTTTAATAATTATTTCACATTTTGAGGAGGATTTATGTTTTGAAAAAATACAAAAATGTTTCCTTGTTTCATTTATAATTTATATACCTGTTTTTATAGAACTGAATTAAAACTTTTCAGTAATAAATGAAGACTAGCGATGTTTTTACAACAGATGCAACCATGCTCATTTACTATAGCAGCCATCTTGTTTATTTCTTTTTATTGTAACTTATAGCGCAAGATTCAGGGGAAGCCACTCTAACTTACAAATGGCCGCTTTTTATATAGCAAATCCTGCTCGCAAACACTGCTGTTTAAAGTTAATTTCTTGCGTATATTGATATATTTAGCCGTTGATTTAGGTCGATTATTATAAATCTATAATAATTGACACAAATATAATTTAATATATCACAATATACTTCTATTAAAGCCTTGACAATGAGGTAACTTTTACGTACCTAAAACAATAGATTACCTATTATATTTTACATTTGTTTTGTAAAATAGGCATTCTAGATCTATCTTCAAGAGTAAGACTGTTTATTTGGCTGTTTTTACTATATTTGCAGAATTAAATATAGATTCTAGATCTCCATTGTAACATTCTAACAATCATAAGTCAAGAAAAAATACAAAAACTAAATTGTCCAGTAGTAGTTAGTGATCCTAACTTACTAGGCCTAACTGTTATATATTATATTCATATATTGCCTATTAATAATTAGGTAAAGCCTAATAATATTAAATATAGACCTATAGATCTATCATTATATATATATATATATATATATATATATATATATATATATATATATATATATATATATATATATGTTAGCTACTCTATTAGAATTAGATCTATTCTTCTATCATAGTTCTATTATATATTATAGCCTATGTATTGTATATATAATAGAAAAGTCTTAAGAATATAGATGTCAAGCATGGCACACAAACAAGGTGACACTCAAACAACTGAGGCTCAAGAGTTAAATGATAAAAATGAACAGGTAAGTCTTTCTTGACTTTATTTAAGAAAATTTATTTTCAACTATTCATGTTAAAAGATAACTACTTAGTGAGAAAAAAGCCATCCCATTGAATATCTAATAGCTTGTCTTATGCAGATCACTTGTAGTATTTATTTTACTGCTTCAATCATATGGGATGGCGTGGCCTAGCGGTAGAACACTAGACTGCTAATCCGTAAGTCTTGAGTTCGAATCTGAGTTCAAGTCAGTCAGTCAGTCCCTGAGTCCACCCAGCTCTGATGGGTACCTAACTCACGTTAAGGAAATTAAAAGGCTGCTGCCCACATTATCCCTTCATAAGCAGAGGTTAAGAATCATATGAACTCTACTTACTCTACCCAATGTATTGCTTTTGCTAGGTTTAAATAGGAATCTTTACTTTTACTTCAATCCTAAATAGCAAATATTAATTAATATTTCTTACTATGTTGATAAAACAATATACACTAGGATTTGTTTGGGCTTTTTTAAATTAAATCATTAGAACTGGATCCAGGTACCTAACACTGCTGTATTGTATTGATTTATATTATTACTACTTTATTTATAAGCTTTTATTTAGTTCACAATGTCTGTTTTTGGGACTTGGCAAATCTTGTAACTTAATTTTTACCCACTTCTTATGCAGCGATTCCACACAAAAAGTGGAAAATAAAAGAAATGTATTAAAAACCTTTATAAGAAGCTTTTAAATGCACTGAAAATAAGAAAATAGAACAAATTTGCTTTTTTTAATAAAAGCATCGGTTGCTAAAATTTGTTAGAGATCTTATTAAAGACAAGACAGAAGTTATAAACAACTGCACTTTTTGCCACAGTATCCACAACTAAATTAACAGTTCAAATCTGTGCTACTAGGCCATTTATGGTAGAGTATTTTTTTATTACATCTTCTCCTGCTCCCATATGTTTACAACTTAAACAAAAATCCGTCCATACCACCTAAGACTAAGTTAAATAACTATTAGTATACACACTTAAAAACATTGTGCGCACATTTTGTTTATAATGATTTAAAGTTAGTGTATTTGCTAAGGGCACTGAAAAATGTGAATTCTACTTCACCTACCCCATTGACCATAAGGTTGAAAGGGTACTTTTTATACATTTAGCATTTGACCACATAGTAACAAACAAATGGATGTACAGTCAACTAAGCTTAAAGTTACCAGAAATCTAGCTTTGCAAAGTTATTAAAATAATCAATAGCTTATAAAAGTGAATACATTCAAAATCCTTGCACTTACAGAAATTTAAATCTCCGTTTATTCAGTTAGATGGGGGGGGGGGGGGGGGGGGGGGGTAAATAAGTTTTCCATGAAATATTCTTCATCAGCCCATGCTAACAATCAACTTTACCTTAGAAAATGATTTATACAAAAATGTGTGGACAATCACCTGTAGAATTAGTAACCAACTCCTAGTTTTAGTGTAGAAATACTTGGATGGGCCATTCGGTGGACACAAGACCTCTCCGCTGTATTGACTGCTTTAACTGGTTAAATGAGTTCTGCTTACTTTGAACAAATTTTATAAAGATTTTACATACATAACCACCACATTCAACCTACTCATTTACATATACATGCATTTAACAGATATTAATATAATAAAAGATTGTCTAAATTATATGTCAAGGTATTTTACATATTTAATTAGGGACGGTATGGCTTAGCGGTAGAGCACTAGACTGCTAGTCCAGAAGTGAGTTTGGATCCCGGACTTGACCCTGTAAGAAGTCCTTGAGTCCTCCCATCTTTGATGGGTACCTGACTCACATTAGGGAAACAAAGAGGTCTGGGCATCTAAAGTCATTAAAACAGATGAACTCTACTTCTTCTGCCCCATGTGTCTTAGGCACTAATGAGAAAAGATGATGATGACTTTACATTTCCAGAAACAGATCAATAATCCTTATCTGTTGTAGCTATCTTTACTGCAATCTGTTACTTGTTGGGGTAATATCACTGCATTAAATGAGAATCACAAGTGCAACAGATTTGTCAACATCACCTTTGAATTCGATTGTTTTATTTAAACTTTGTTATTGTTATAAATGTAAAAATCATTAATGCAAACAATAAATTATTTTGTTTGAAAATATGACAAAGTTGTCTCTAAAGTTGACTTTGTTGAGAACTAGTAGGCCTCCTGTTGGAATTTTTTTCAGTTCTCAATTGATTTTTTTCACTCCCAATAATTGTATGTATTGATTTCATCAACCTAATTTAATTCAGTAGAAAAAGTACATTAGTTGGAAATTGAAGTATCAAATGTAACCAGATCAAACAGTAATCAATATGGCTATCATAGGTTTAAATTAATGGAAATGGGTGGGTGTTTAAACGTATGGTTTCTGCTGGTCCATATAAGGTGTTCTACTCATAGATTCCTGAACAAACATACTCATTTGCTATTTTAAGTTTTTTGTATCTGAAACCAGTAAAGATGGATTTTTATGTGGGTCCTAAAGGGGTATGTTATTTTTTTCAAATGGTAGCAGCATATTTATTATCATCCAAGCTTTGCCAATTTGTTGAAATATTCGGAGGGTCAAAAAAAATTTCATGTTACAGTCTGTAGACTGTAGAAAAAGTCTGTAGACTGTAGAAATAACATTTGCCTTCACTGGAGCTGCTCAGCTTCTTAAAATTGGTGCTTTTGTTTTCCCAAGCTATCAGTGACTTACAAATACACTGTGATCACATTTGAGTTTTAGCACCTGTTATAAAATTGTTTTAAATTAAAAGTTTATTTAATGAGCTACAATTGTAACTGATAAATTATATTATGTTTCACAGTTGCTAGAAATAAAAGATTTTTAAAACAACTAGGCCTGACATTTTTGTTTCAGATATTGCTTGAGCCCTACAAGTACATTTGTCAGATTCCTGGTAAACAGATCAGAACCAAGTTATCTGCTGTAAGATTTTTTGTTTGACTAATTAACATTATGCTTCAGCCATTCTTCCCCCAACCCCATCTCCTCAAATTGCAAAACAGCAATTTCTTTCTAAAATTATTGACTTGTTTCCCTTTAATAACAATATATAACCAATAAATGTAGAAATGATAAAGCCCCTGTAAACTGCTAGCTAGTTTGAGTTTTTTGTCATCATTAGTAATGGTTTGATCAATTTGATTTATTATGATTTTAAAAAATGGTACAACCTCTAAAAATAAAATAATTTTTTTAATTAAATTAAAATGTGACATCATATGTGATAAATGTGGTCATGTGATCTATGATGACTAACCCAAAGGTCTCAGTGGGTATCATTTTTAAGTTGGGGAATGTAACAGTGGCTGAGCATCATGCTGAGCACACAATCCATTGGTATGCCTAGGAGATGCTCAGTGGATTGTCTAACCTGAAAGGGTGCTTCTCTTGTATGTATGGCACCACACTTTCTCAAACCACCCCTCCACTGTCATCACTCAAAACACCTGTCTCAGAGATTGTGATGGCTGACCCCATTGCCTGGTCAGTAGGATTTGGTAGTTTAAGGACATGGCAAGTCACAAAAAAACTTTTAGGTTTTGGTGTTACCCATGTAGGGTCCCTCTGTATCATACTCATGTGAGTTATAACAAGGTTTTAAAGGGCTACTTTTACAGCTTTAAAAAGTGTAATTAGTACAGTCTCATGTGTGCTACCTTGCTCTGTAAAACTATACACTCTGTTTTTTAATGATAAGATGTTCTTCCACTCTGCTTGATGGCTGTTCATCTTTTTTATGATATTCTGTTAAAACTTCTTAGGCCTTCAACCATTGGCTGAGAATTCCTGAGGAAAAAATGATCATAGTTTCAGAAGTAATCCAAATGCTTCATAATGCAAGTTTAATGTAAGTTTTTTCACCCTTTTAGTGAGTGTTTAATGAAGTAGCGATGGTTTTCATCCTGTTATGTAGAACATTTAATAAAAAATAAATATTGTTATTAAAAATACATATTTACTAAATTTCCTTAAAAATAAATTTTAGATAAAACATTTTTTCTAAAATGTGTTATGTGATGTAAAATACAATTTCCTTTGTAACAGAATAGATGACATAGAAGACAGTTCTAAACTAAGACGTGGTATTCCAGGTTAGATAGTTCTTTAAATATATCAAACAAATGAGCTTTGTTTACTGATTAATTTTAGTTAGATTAATTCATATTACTAAAATAACGAAATTGAATTTTATTTAGGCCAGTATTCATTTCTCTAATGCTTTTGGTTAAACTTTAAACTATGTAAATTAAAATGGCTTTTACTTTCCGATTTTTTTATACAGAATTCTTTTTTAACATTCTATTCTTTGCATATTTTTCAGTAACACATTCCATTTTTGGTGTTCCCCAAACAATCAACACAGCCAACTATGTCTACTTTTTAGCTCTTGAAAAACTCTTCAGTTTAGGAAAACTTGAAGAGACAACTCGAGTGTTTACAGGTAAAGCTGTTTGGTTTTTGTTAAAGACGTCAGTTATCAAAAATATTTTTGGGCCTTTTGTTTTTGTTAAAGTCATTAGTTATAAAAATAAAGTTTTGGTCACTGACAATGGTTATAAGGGGAAAAAATTCTATTTATTGTTAAAATAGTTTTTTTTTTAATTGTCCTCTTTTAATGGGAATAAATGCATTTATTTCTTTTCCCCAGAAAGTCTTTTAGAGCTTCATAGAGGTCAAGGAATGGACATTTATTGGAGAGATTCAGTGGTGTGTCCAACAGAGGAAGATTATAAACTCATGGTTATAAGAAGTATGAAAGTTATTTTTTCCTTTATATTTTTTCAATTCTTATACAGAACACACATAACATAAAGTTGTGAAACCAGAATAAAAATATTAAAAAGTTAATTTGCTTGCTTGTTATCAAAGTCTTAACTTGTCGAGAAAACATTTGAAAGGTGCTTTTTGTGGAAAATTATATTGTGATTATTAGCTGTTTAATTGCTTTACTTAGTAACATGTTTGCCAGACAGGTGAAATAAGAAAAATATCTTGTCATTTTGTTTACAGAAACTGGTGGTTTATTTGGTTTAGCTGTGGAGCTAATGCAGTTATTTAGTAGTAATAAAAGGTAATTTTAAGTATTTTTGGTTCATCACTAGTATCATCTGCTTAATGCATGGGCTCAATAGCCACATGCAGCTTTTTTAATGAATACATATGATGGCTTTTTCAGTAGGTAAAACTACTTGCTTCTGAGAAAATAGTTGTAGAGCTACATCTATCATTAACCAATGCACTTTTTAAATTCTCTGGTATCAGATCTAAAATAAAAATTTCAATGTTGCTCCCACAAAATTGTCACTAGAAACATACTCAAAGGCTTTTTTTTAAAAAAGTGTCCAACTTGCAGAAATTATTTGTTATTTGTTTTTTAAGTAGAGGTTTAACTATTCCAGCTTCAGTGGTGTTTGTTCATTCTTAGTTCTAATGATAAAGTATATGATTTTAAAATTAGAAATAAGATTGAACAAAATGACACTAAAAATTGTAATGAATAAACTTTGTATTTTTAATTGAACAACTACATTTCCCATTTCAAAATTTAATCTAATAATAAAATCATATTAAAATTATTTAGTGTACATTACTTAAAGGGTACTGTTGCTCGAAAATTAGAGTAAAAATTAATTTTATTCTTAATGGCTGTATGTTATTTTTCTCTCTTTTAGTAACTTTAAACCACTACTAGACCTTTTAGGACTGTATTTCCAAATTCGAGATGATTATGCTAATCTATGCTCAAAAGAGGTAAGTTTTGGTTTTCATTTTAGTAATAGACACCAAATTTATGTTGATTGTTGCTAAAAGCATTTTGTATTTGCATAAATAAATGGGAATCACTCATGTGGGGAGAAATATTGATTATTTTTAATGATTGAATTACACATACAAGTAGTTAATGTATGCAAGTAATTAATGTGAAGCTGTCATTGGGACTTGGGTGGTTCATACTGCAGGTGAAATAGAGTCTGCCTCTATTTGGGATGAATTTATACTTCTGAATATTATTATAGCTAAGAAATGTGTGAGCTGCTTTTGTATAACTATTATCATCAGGTGGTATTTTAAAACTGCAAATTTTAACCTTTTTGTTTAGTATGAGACCAACAAAAGCTACTGTGAAGATATAACAGAAGGAAAGTTTTCATTTCCTCTCATCCATGCCATTAAAGCTAACCCAGCGGACAACCAAGTGATGAGTATGTGTTTACTTTATTTTCTTCATACATCTTCTATTTGTAGGTTTATTCTTCTTGATACATCTTCTATTTGTAGGTTTATTCTTCTTGATACATCTTCTATTTGTCTTTAAAATAACATTCTCAGAGCTGTCTATTATTATTGGACTGAGTAAAAAAATAAATGTAATGCTGTTTAAACTACAGTGTCTAACTATGAAAAAATGTAATGCTTTTATAACTAGAGTGTTTAATTTATGAATTAATGTAATACTCTTATAAGTAGAGTGCCTAATCTTGCTTTTATTTAATCCCTAGGTATTTTAAGACAAAGAACAACAGATATTGATGTAAAAAGATATTGTGTACAGTATTTAGAAAAAGTTGGAAGCTTTGATTACACAAGACAAGTATTAGAGACACTAGAAAAAGAGTAAGAAAAAATATGTTGTCTGCTAATTAAAATTATTGTTAAATGAGGGTTTGGGCAGCCATACTGCAGTAATTAGTCTGTACTGCAGCAATTTGGCAGAATTTAACATTTGGTTGTCAATAAATTTGAGTGAGGTGGGATAATTTGTTATAACAAAATTCAGCCATAACATGATGGAAGAGGAAAAAACTTATCCACGGCACTTTAGACTAAATGTATCACTTAATATTCATTTTTTAATTACAGTGCAATTAATTCCTTATCTCCTCTCTGTGTCTAATTATAAAGATGACATTTTATTAACTATTAGTTGGAGTACTAAATTTTATTTTGATAAAAAATTTTGTAAACATTTATAACAGCTTGTTGAGCGAGATAGCATCACTAGGAGGCAACCCTATCCTTGAAGCTTTAGTCATAGAACTCAGGAAGATCTACAGTGGATCCAAAGCCAGCAGCAACTGATATCTTACTGCTCATCCTAAGTACCAGGAACTTTTAAAAAAATTTAAACTCTAGTTTAATTTTAAACTAGTTAACAAATGTATTTTAATGGCTTATGTTATGCTGTTTTTTTTTTTTTTTAACAAATAATTCAATCTTATTTACCTGGATGAAGTTGTAACCACACTGTTTATTTAATTGTTGCAAGAGGTTATCCATTTATGACTTCCACATTGAGGTGAAGGCCCACATGTTCCATTTAACATGAAAATATTTGTATGTTACAATAAATGTGAGAAAAATGTAAACTGCTTACAAAATATCTTTAAATAGAATTTAGCACAGCGGGTAATTAAACCATGAAATCTGTTTATAAATTATTGCCCCTTCTGTTAGCAAGAGATGAACAGATGTAAGGATTCATAAACCTAATGTGGCATTATAATAATATTAACTATAATGCAGGGTAAAACTGCAGAAAATGAATCTTTTAAAACTTTTCTTTCTATACAAAAATTAATAATTTGAACCTCTGCAACTTGTTACTATGTTAAAAGAAATAGTGTAAGTTATACATGCGCTCATCATTCAGATCTATTTTTATCCTTCTAAAATGTCATTTGCTCAATAATCTATATCCTTTAATAATAATTACATCTATTCAAAAAAAAAAAAAAAATAACCAACTATAAAAGTTATTAGCATTGCAAAATTCACATCACAAATCATGTTTTTGAATGAAAATAATGTAGGTTTAGAGAAGTGGGCAGGGTCTAAAATTCAATTTTTTTGTGTAGACGTCATAAATGGAAGACCCTTAAGATACAATTACTTCTTGATAACTGCCATACTTTAACTATTAAGCTGCATATGACTTTTATAAATAAGACTGGTACTATTTGCAACTTAGAATAGATTATGCATCATAATCATAGGCATGTTTATTTAAAGTAACTTGATCATTAGTATCTTTTAAGTAACTAGTTTAGATTATACTGTAAACCAAAAGTATTTCTGTGTATAATTTGTGCCATTAATTATTAGTGTATGAATTGTTACAAGCTGTTATTTATTGCATTTAACTTTTTACTTGGAACTGATATCATTTTTTATGTCAACACATTTTAAACATTTATCACATACAATTTTCCTATAATGAACAGATTTCATATTTTTTCAAGCACATGTAGGTTTTTAGCAATTACAAAAATGGAAGTAATTAGATTTTTAAAATACTTATTATTTCATTACAATTAATAGTAGGCCTATAGACTTTAATAAGTTTAAAGCAATTTGAACTAAATTTTTTTTTTACAACTTTTGGATCTCTCAATGAATAAAGAATGGCCTTTTTTTTTTGATGATGTGTAGTTGTCAATTTTAGATTCTTTTTTCTTAGATTGAATATGTTACATGCTTAGCTTTAAATGGTATTCTATTTAACCTTTTAGTAAAATATGAATAACATGTAACTGAGGCTTTTAATTGCACAATTTTCAAACAAAGTTGTGTGATAAATGATAAACAGCCTGAAGAAAGCATTACACCATGATCTGTTTTTTGACACTAAATTATTTTGTCTTGTTTGTACATGTATTGCAATTATTTTATAAACTTTTAAAAAATGTTTATTATTGCTATCAACTACCATTTTTTAAAATAATTTATCACAGAAACAATTTTAAAAATTTTGTCTTTATTGTAATATAGTTTGTCATAATGGAAATAATACTGTAAGCATTTCATTTAGGCTTTATTGTCTATATAGTTTTTATTGATGAAAATAGGAGTTTTTAGGCATCGATCCATATGTTATTGTAATTGATTAAAATACTTGATATTTATTTTTAGAACTCAAGTTTTTATTTTAAAGACAACTTTACATTTACTTGAATGTATTAAATCTAATTTACTAAATGAATAACATTATTTTATTGAGAATAGCAAGTCAGGTAAAGTCAACAACACGAATTTAAATAATTGGTTACTTGATTTTTTAATCTTCACTGAGAAAAATATCACAAATCAATGTCATACCATCAATAACATTACAAGTTAAATTTAGCAAAATCAGTGATATATTATCAACATGAATGTACCACAAATTTTCCTTAAGTATTACAAGTTTTTAAAATGACAAAAACCTGCCAAATACTTAAAGCCCAAAAACATATTCAAGCAGCTTAGATGAGTGAGAGTAAAAGTTTCTTAAAGCATATCCTCACTTTCAACACATTCAACATTTAAACAAACAGGTACCAGGAGTCTGAAAGATGGATGTATTGGACATTTTCTAATCAGAGAAAACTGGGTTGCAAAGGCACTTTATAGTTATAGCGTGAATATAAAGAAAAACTTCACTCCTTGAAGTGAAGATTCTTCATTCCACTTTATAAGGCATTCCTGACAACAGTTAAGGACAGTGAAGCTGCTGAAATTAATTAAAACAAATTCAAAAGAAATCAAAGGCATGAATTGAATGACAAAATTGCAAGTTACATGAGGCAATTGTAGGCCTTTTTTACTCAAAAATATTCAATAGTAAGAGACATTGATTTCAATTCTATACAATGGGGAATGAAACACTTTAAAAACATGATAGCAGTTAAAAACTCTCAGAACACTAAAATAATGGTAGTAAATAAATAATGTACATTAAATGCAATTAAGATCTTACATCCTGAACAATTTAAAAAAACTTAAACCTGTAATATTTTAACAGAATTTCATCTAAGCAAAATGTGATCAGATTTGTTTATATAGTCTCAGTAAGAGATTTTTAAAGTTTTTAAAATCATCCTTACTTTTCTCAGAAGCCATATATGCTAAAAATCAAAGCCAAGACTTGGCTCTCATTTGTTAAAGCAAAATGTAACAACACAGGCCATACAAATTAATTTAAAATGTCAAGATTGAGAGTTGTTCATTAAAATAAAAAACTATTAGTGGTTTGAATAGATTTCTCTTTTTGTATCATTTTAGCATCAGCAGGACTGATGATTTCAAAATACACATGATGGAAATAAATTAATAACAAGGCATGGTCAAATTCTAATATATAATTTTTAAATGAATGTTTATGAAGCCGAAGTTTGAAAATACATTTAAAATGTAAATTAATCAGGCTAACTGACCTTTGGACTGCAATGACAGATGAGAGAAAATATTATGCTGCAATGACTAACAAGTCGAACAACTAAATGCATGGTTTGATTACAAAAAAAATCAATGAACTAGTAAAACTATAAATCTAAATCTTTCAAATAAATTATGCAGTGGTGCCACTTATTTTTAAATAAATGATTCCTAGAAATCAATCCCCAAATTTTACCAATACTGAAACCAAAGTTTGAAATTTTTAAAACCCTGAAATCTAATGTCATGCTGAAATTTTTTTGAATTGACAATTAATTTTTGAGACATTAGATTCAAATTGCATTTTTTAAAAAAAACCAGTATTTTGGATTTATAATCTTTGCAATAATCAGCAAACAAAATTACAATTTAAGAGAGTGTGCATTTTAAAAAATGAGTTTAAAATTTTAGCCCCATCTCTATGCCATGTTATGCTATGGTTTAAACAATTAACAGCAGCATTTCTAATGCCTAATGTATATATACCCAATATTTGTTTCAAACAATCAAAATGCGGATATGTCAATGTCAACATTTTATTATCAAATTGCACAATAAAAACATTCAAAACAGTAGTTTAAACAGTAGTTCTGATTAAAATATTAACACAGGATTTTTATATTAGATGTCAATTTAAGAAAAAATTATGCATTAGTTTCAAACAATGAAACAAAATATAGTCAAATGAAGCCGTAAACCAATAAAATCATAAATAGTGGACCCAGGTTATATAGTCATTATAATAATTTTAAACAGTTTGTAGTAACTGCTTTTAGGCAAGACCCTGCAATCTGTTTAACCATGTAAAAGGGAGAAATTATTATCAAAAGAACCAGTTAAAGCAAACGTTGTAATCATTTTTTATGAAGTCTCAGTGAGTGTTCATAGAATAATTGAAAATACACTAGTATATTTGGCTACAATTATTAATGTAATAAGGTTTTTTTAATCACTTATTATTCCTTTTAAAAAGGCTTGTTAATTTTTAGGAAATGATCAATAACAGTAACTTAATATTTCCAAGAAAGATCAAACCTTATGTGTTGATCAAAAACACACCAACACAATATATAGATGGTAAAAAAATATGTGACTGAATACCAGCAGATAAAGAAAATATTTTGAATTTGATATAATAGGCATGTATGTTGAAATGTACAGAGAAAAAATATATTTTGCAGTTCAATAACAGTGTAGTTACTTCAAATAGTAAAGAAAAGAAGTGAGATATTGTGTAGAGGTTAAAGATTCTTAATGGATTACTTTAAAAAACTCCAGTTTATGATGCCCATTAATAGATTAAAACAAATTTCTTTGATTTAATACTATGTCAACAAAATGTTTGGAATGATAATTCAAAACATGGTGGCTACTCTGTGATACCAATGTTTGCAACAATTCCCTTTGAAACAGGTTATCCTAGGCCAACATCTAGTGACATCATTACAACAAAACCTACAATGGCTCCCCAAGAGGCCAATTTTCCATTGCCACTGAAATAAATGGGGAAGAAAATTATGAAAGATTAAACTTCACCATATTTTTTTTTTGCCAGTGGCCTACTTTTTAAAAAAAATATCCTCAAGAACAAACACAAATTTTTTAAAACTATTTCACGTGTTAAAATTATAGATATTTATTTTCTTGATTAAATTTCTTCTGTCATTTAAAATTTTTTTTACACCTAACTTCACACCCAAACAGTGAGAGATTTCTAAATGATAATTCAGCTAATGTATTAGTAACAAATTTATTCCCACTAAAGTGTTAGTTTATATTCTAAGCTAATAACTGGTTAGGCTGTACGACTACTCACGCTGTTTGTGCTTCCGGTATAATATCATCAACAACAACAAAGATCATGGCACCAGATGCAAAAGCTAGTGCATAAGGCAACAAAGGTTCTGCAAAGGTCACAGCAAAGGCACCAAGTAACCCTGCTATAGGTTCCACCATGCCACTTAACTGACCATACCTGATAACATTGAATGTGGTACAAGTTATATTCAATAGAGAAGTAAGAGAATGTAGATTATACTGTTGCAAAATTGTTGCTAAATGTGTACAATGAAACAAATATTTTTTTACCAAAAACTTTTCATTACTGACATTCCAGAACTTCTGAGTGGAAGACTTACAGCCAAACCTTCAGGGAAATTTTGGATTCCTATTCCAAATGCTAAATTTCTACCAATTTAAAAAAGAAATCAGTTTGTTAACATTGCATAATGGTTTGCATAAATCATTTACATAGGTTGCAGACATTTACAAAATTTAAACAAGGTCTAAAATAATGTTTAATCCCACACATGATAGAGATCAAAACAAAACAATATATTACATTAACAAATACAATCTATGAAAATTCTCACCTTGCCTTCTCAAATGTTGCTAGACTAGATTTACCAATTGCACCAAAGCCTACACCTACAGCTAATCCCTCTAAAAACATTTAAAAGTTCATAAACTGTAGTAAACATAAAAAAATAGGTATAATTATGTGAGATAAAAAGGTTGAATAATAGTAACTTATTCTATTTAACACTAGGTGCTTAGCTAGATTAAAGTTAAAGATTCTATTTTGAAGAAAAAGCACAATTATATGAATAGCCTAGTTACCTGGTATATTGTGTATAGTAATTGCAATTATAAGGAGCATCATCCTCCGCCAATTAATTGCTTTGCCAACACTGGTTTCTAAGCGCCCTGGAGCACTCTGTGAATTATGAGCTTGTTGTGTGCGCTGTGAAGCATCTGAGATTGGTGCAACGTTCTGGCGTCTTTTTATAGCAATGTCACTGGGATTTCTATGCTTAGCATGGATGTTTGAATAGTTATCATCAACTGTCAAAGTGACCGAATGGAAGCTGTCCTCACTTTTGTAGGAATCATCTAATGGAATATCATCCAAAATGCTGCTACCATCAGGGCGAATTAACTCCCCCTGGTTTAAATGAAAAGATTTGCTAATAAATGATGTATTAATTAAGAGTCATTACTATATTATTTAAAAAATGCATGACAGATCAAAGCGTTTGCATGACCTACACAATTTGGAATAAAAAAATCAGCTGCATACACAAACAGTGCACCGAGGACAAACCCGACAGCTATTGGCAGGAAGGCCCATTGACCATTACTTCCATACAGCCCTGAGTTCTCAGCCATATCTATAGCTGGAGCTAATAAAGACCAATAAGAAGCAGCGACCATTACCTAACAGAAAAAAAATCATATTATTTTTAAGCACTGAACAAATTATTTTAAGAAATAAATCTATATATATAACATAATTGACTAAAAACCTTTTTAGCCCTGGTTTAGTTAGTAAGAATATTTAATGTATTAACTTAACCTGGAGCTATTTTTTGTGTAAGAGCTAAACATAATTTAAAAGATACAAACATTTCAGAAGTGTATTAGTTTTCTAATAAGTTGCAAGTTGAACTTACTCCAGCAGCAAAGCCAAGGCTTCCATCCAACAACTTTCTCTAAAATAAAATAAAGACTGTTGCTTGAATAAATTAATAATAGATAGTCACAAACATGTATTACTTTATTCCAAAAACTATTTAAGTCATTAAATGTTATTTTTTAAAGTTTTTTTTTTGTTGTCTATGTAGATCTATATGACAAGGAAAAAAAAAGTATGTTACCTTAGCAGAGCTGAATACAAAGACAAGGGCTGCTCCTGCTGCAGTCAGTCCCCAAGTAAACAGGGTGCCCAGCAGGGTTTGTAGTAGAGGATGGGAATTTTCCAACATTTTTAGTTATATTAAACTTGACCCGTTGAATACCTACACAACTCTGAAAATTATTTGATCCTAATTATTTACATCATTTATATAAAAAAGCAATGTTTGTTTGTTTGTCTTTTATGCATTACTACCCCTTTCATCTGATCCCCATGAAACTTTGGGAAGTTGTTGGGAATACTCATGGGGAGGTTTCTGCAAAACAAAAATTTCAAATTTGCAGGGGTGGCGCCCCGGCAGGCTGTGATTTGATTCTTCTCTATATAAGGTATATAAAAAAATAAAAGCCGATTGCGGTTTGACACGGTTCATCCAATTGCCATGAAACTTTATAATATTATAATAAAGTGCTAAAATTTGTAGTTGTATATAGGACATTTGGCTTCAAAAATTGAGTCAAACAGTTTCATATTTAATGAGGGACTTTCCACTAAAAACCTGATGGCATACTAAATGGGTGTGCATCCATTTATTGTTAATCTCACAATAAAATAATGAGAGTGAAGCGAGGGGAATCCTCCCCCCCCCCCTGCAGTCAAAACCATTTGTCTCACGTTTTCTACTAGCATCCCCCCCCCCCCCATGTCAAATTTTAAAAATCAATTTACAATTTACCAAAACCCTCTTAAAACAAAAACAAAAACTGACTCTGAGTGAGAATTAAAACTTGATCTAGATCTAGATTCTTAAGTAGATCTAGATTTACTAAATATAAAATTTCTAGACTAGAATCTAGATTATTCTAGATCCTAGGACTAGGTGATTTAAAAATCTCAATTAAAATTTTCATTCTAGATCTAGATCTAGCAGTCTAGTGGTATTTTCTATCTCAACATACTACATACCACATAGTAAATACTACATACTCATGCATGATACATACTATATAGTATAGACTTAAACTATATTATATAGATCTGTATATACTATAGACTATATACACTTGGGTTAAATAAATACACACATGGCTGCTAATGTCAATGCTAACCCTGTCCCTAACCCTAACCCTACCATACTCAGATAGACAGATACTGTCCATACGCCTAACCCTAAAAGACACTAAAAGTAAATTCTAACCCATGTTGAATGTATTAAATTTATGATTAGTATGTATGTAGTATGTAACCATAGAATTAGTCGAGATTACAATACTAGGGGTCATCCATAAATGACGTCATGCTTTTTTTGACTATTTTTACCTCCCCGCTCTCCTCCGTCACACATCGTCACAAAAAGCCAGACCCCCCCCCCCCCCCTAAAATGACGTCACACCTCAACCTACAATCCCACTCAAAATTGCAGTTGAATTTTTTTTAAAACATCGATATTTTAAATATTTTTCCAAAATCTTGTCTAAACTATTACAATTTATTATTAAAACAGTTATCTAAAACGCGAAATAACGTCTAAAATTAGTTTTCTAACATTGCTTTTTTATAATGCAAAAATGTGACATCGCAAAATCTGAACCCCCCCTCCCCCTCATCACACATCGTCACAAAATTACCGACACCCCCTACGAGTGTGACGTCATTTAATTAATATTTATGGATGACCTCCTAGGCCTAAAAGTACCAACAACCCAACACACCTAGATCTATTTTATGGAAGTCTATTAAACTATTAGTATTATCCATTATCATACATCTGTACCCAAAATCATTATACTCATTAGTCATTAGAGAATCTATACAATACAATCATTCATACAAACTTACAAAGTTACAAACAAGTCTCTCGAGTTACGAGTAGTCTCGAGTCTAGATCTAGATCTAGTCTTGAGTTTGCTCTCACTTTTTTCAGTCTAAAACTAAAACTGTCTTACTCTTGATCAGTAGTTTAGTTACTCAGTCAACTTAGTTTTACAAGTTATTATTAATCTGCAACCTGTAGCCATAATCACCCCGCACAATTATCTTATCTGTTAGTGTTCGTGTGGGTTTTGTAAAGCTGTACTAGAGTTTAATAATTTTCTTACAACACGACTTCATACGTGCCAAAAAAACTACGTCCTAACTTCGGGTCATTTCCGGAACTGTTTGACGCTAAAATTGTTTTTCGCATAACTTATTTTCCTAAAGCCTGGTTAAATCCAGGTAGATCTACGGCCCACGGGTCTAGCCCAGGGGTCGGCAACCTTTTGAAGCGGAAGAGCCAAAAGTTACAATTTTCAAAATTTCCCTGGTTTTAAAGAGCCACTAACATTTTTTTTATTTCAAATATTTTTTTTTTATTAAGATTATTAGTATTTGTTCAAGGAGTTGGAGCAGGGACGGATTAAGCTTGGGCGGGGCCCCAGGCTTAAAATTATTGGGGGCCCTTGATATATATATATATATATATATATATATATATATATATATATATATATCCTAATCAACAACCTTATTTTAAAAAATCGTGGATTATTTTAACTTATAGGAGCATTCAACACCGATATTTACAAAACTGCAATTTAAAAAGCTGTCAATTATGTTCATTGAGTGATAAATTGGATACAAACATGTACCAAGTATGACTAATTTCTAGCAAGACTATATGTTGCTTTCCCCCCCCCCCCCTCCATCCACTACCACGGCGCACACACACTAACAATACATATAGAGACGAGATCCATCCTCTAAGTCAGCAGTACTAAATATATGACTGTTTACTGTAGGCCTGTAGAAGTTTCCGACTGCCCCGCGATCTAGCCGGGCACCAGACGGTTGGACGATGTCTCGCGTCTGGTGGGTGGGGGAAGTACAGCCTGGTCAGAGCCTACGGGTGAATGAGCGATGAACATGCAGAGGCATAGCGACCGATTCCGGCGCCCGGGGCGGAATATACATTTTTGCGCCCCTCCCATTCTATTTATAGTTATTCCTGTCTTTGAAAAAACGCCCACCCTCCAAAGTAAATAAATAAGTAAATTGGAAAGGTTTGTGGAGTTTCTTACCAGTAACTATCCCATTCGATTTTGTATTTCGGTGCCAAATCAAGACAGTTAAAGCAATGTGTCTATTTTCGTAACTTTGACTGTATATAATTAAATACTTCAGCTTAAAATGAGCTTTTAAATTAATTTTTACCCCTTTTGGAGCCCCCTTAGGATCGGTGCCCGGGGCGGCCGCCCCACCCACCCTCCCCTAGCTACGCCACTGCGAACATGTAGTGTTTCAAACCAATATCTTCATGCGACTAATTCAGTCCACTATTTGCCAGTTAATTCGAGTTTACCTCCCTTGCTAACGGGAGTCAAACTCCTTAGCCGGTATTATTATTCGTGTCACGATAGTTATTGAACTGTCATTCAAGAATTTATATTGGGCATGAGAAATCTGGAAATGCAGACTAACAATGAACAAATATAAATATCCATGAAAATATTACGTCGTTATAGAGCAGACGATAAAGGCTGTTGGCACGTGTTTACTTGCAGACGCAAAAAGACAAAAAGAGAATTTCAAACCACTCTATGTAGGAAATTATTAATAACATACAGAGGTTAAACTAGTAAAGTAAAGTAAAGTTTTCCTTTCAAACCTGAAGGTCTATGGGGCAATTGAAGTAGAGTTAACTTGTTTCCGTGACCTCGGCATATGAAGAGATAGTGTGGTCAGCACTATGCCCAGCCGCCTTTCTTTCCCTATCGTGAGTTAGGTATCCATCAGAGTTGGGTGGACTCACGGACGGTCTACGAGGTTAACTATGCCCAACTATAACAGTAAGCACGGTATAAGCATAAAAAAAACACACCTCCATCCTATTAGGTGTCATCCATTTACGAGGCCAACAAAAAGTTGGATTTCCACAGGCGTCCATTTAAAGAACGCCATTCCTGGCCTGTAAACCCGATATTAACGTTCACTAAAAGTAAAGGCCTATAAATGTTTTTAAAAGTTTAAATCATAGAGTGTTCACACCAGATTCATGTCATTTATGTGTCAGAATTCGACCGCTGTTTGTGTTTTTAACTCTAAAATTAACCCAATTTATTGTCATAAGCAAACGCTGTCCGGGCTGGTATTTATACTAAAGTGTGTGCTTGAGTTTGATATTTTGATCAAAAATTGAAATAAACTTGTCATTCAAATATTAAAACATTTGCTTTTATAGTAAAAAAAAAAAATTTTACTTTAAAGGGAAATTTACTATGATTGAAAAAGGAAATTTGGGGGCCCCTAAAAATCGGGGGCCCCTGGCTGCAGCCCCCTCAGCACCCCCCTTAATCCGCCACTGAGTTGGAGTCCGCATCTTGATATCAAAAGAGCCGCATGCGGCTCGCGAGCCGCAGGTTGCCAACCCCTGGTCTAGCCCGTAGTGGCGAAACGGAAGTAGATCTACCAAAATTTTCGTATTGTCCGTACTTGCAAAATTCTTTTTTTGCGATTTAAAATATTAGATACGAGCTGACCCGCGACGTAGCATACGCCGCTATCTAGATCTAGAGATCTAGTTGTTTTATTTTCTACTTATCAACAATTCATAATTTGTGAATTCGACATTACCCCACCGCCCTGCCCCCCCCCCCCCCCCCCCCACCCAGTGAAAACAGTCGTTTACAGACGACAATCAAGCAGAACTTGTTATCTCCCCTTAATTTCAAATCGTTTAAAAACTAAATTGTCTGCCCCTAATAGCCTTCACTTATTCGAACCGGCTCTACTATTGTTAACATTCGGGGTGAACTTAGCTCACCTGACAGGTGGGGATGAGGGTGGTGGCTAAGCTGCGTGGTGTCTTCTATGGTCCCCATGAAGAGAATTATATTATACGAGTTGACCCGCGACGTAGTATACGCCGCCATCTAGCTGTTTTATTTTCGGCGTATCAGAAATTCATAATTTGTGAATTCAACACTACTAATTTAAGCCTATATGTTTATATTAGGTTGTGATGATCTATGTTAGATCTGTTTATTATAATCATACGCGTTGATATATTAGCTTGGAGTTGTGTTAGATTATGCTTTGGATGAAAAGTTAGGTTAGTTATGGTTTTAATTATAAGCATTGTTTAGTAAATTTAAAGTATGGGTTGGTTTTGCTTTCAACGTTGTATAAGGGTTCGTCTATAAATGACGTCACACTCGTAAAGAGGGGGTGGGGGGGGGTGTTACGGGTCAGTTGTAGGTTAGACAGAAATAGGTTATAATAATCTAGAATTAGGGGAGAGTGCGTGTGTGAATTGAGTTTAACCTAGAGTATTGTTAACCCCGGTGTGTTTATGTATTGCTATCCCAAGGTCGAATGCGGTATAAAAGCTGGAATGAGCGATTGTAAGGAGTTCGTTGGTAGCGGTTAGTGCGAGGGCTACTCTGTTATGTGAAGAATTGAGTCCAAATAAAAGAGACTGAAATAGAAACGGATAGTTCCGTTTTCTAAAATTAACGATGGCCTCGTAATTTTATCCCTCTACCGTTTAGTGAAAGCGAAACTGGTCGCCATTTTAGTAAGCGCATGAGCCGTGAGATGCCACGAAAATGACAAACCCGGTAGCGTTGAATCGAACGGCCTAATGAGAGATAATACGGCTCAACAACAACCCATATAAACAAGCACACAAAAAATTAAACAGATCAATATTTTAAAATAATAATTTAATAGAATTGATCATGAAACATCACCACATGCTACAATAAAAAAAAAAAGAATGTACACAATTGACTAACTTGGTCACAAGTCACAATATTTGCTTCACAAGAAATCAAGTTTCCCTCTCTATAATAAGCAACACAACAGGTCAATGAGCCAACTCTGGAACTCTATATACAAATGACTGTATACCTTTATTTTATCACAGTTGTTAGGCTTCATTATGTGCAATGAAATATTTAGGTAACATAATATGTACAGAAGGTATGGATTCTTAAATGAAAATCTTGTTTAATAACATTAAAAAATGTTCCTTCATGAGGTTTTGGTTGTTTTCATTTTTAGAAAAGTCAGTCTCTTCACAACAGACTAGTTAAACATGTCAGGGATATTTTTAATCTTTGATTTATCTAAACAATTAGATTCTAAGTTTAAAAATTAAAATAAAATGACTTAAGAATATTCGCTTAACAAATGCAAGTATATCGCAACTGAGATTTAATTATAAAGTCCATGAGACTCTACAAATGTTAATCATTAAGTAAAAACATTTTGATTCAGCTGAGATACTAACAACAAGACCAACCTTGAATATTCTTCAAATAAAAACAACTCAGGTACACACTGAAGCCAATTCAGTAATATATAAATGCATTTTTAAAGAATTCAAAATTTGGCGTAATTTCTGGTTTCATGGTCTATGTATAAACTTTCTTGTTAGTTCTGTATAATTATTAAAAGTACATAACAACCATCAAGTGACCGCTCCTTGGGATGTCCAAATTAGACTTAACAGTAAAAGATAGTTACTCCGTTGTAATGTACATTTCAATAATCTAGCAAAGTAAATTACTGTCAGAAAAAAAACCAGGTGCAGTAAGTTGCTCAATGACAGGCCATACCCTACCCCTTCATGTATTAGCTTCCATATTACTTTTACCATTGTACATTGCAGGTGCATGGAATAAAAGGAAAACAGCACTGAGTCTACACAATTTTCTGTTCTCTTAAATCTAAGATAAAAGAACTTTCTACAACATAAAGTAAGAAAGTATCAGTGTCTTTATCCTATGAGTGCTGTACGTTTAAAAATATATGCATCACTGTACATCACAATAGTTACTTGTAATAAAAAAAATTGCAGGAACAATGTAGGATCTTAATTATCCATTATCACTTGACTGTACCATTAACAAAGTCCTTATTTATTTTGAAGCTCCAGCTGGGAAGGAATGTTAGGTAATGGAGGGTGTAGAATGTATGCTGACGCTGCAGATGGCGCTGGCTGATTCATCAGTGGACTACCTGGTCGATCTGGTGATAAGAAATAGAAAACTTAGAACCTAACATACAGGTAAACGATGCAAACATAACAGATGATACAAGAAAAGTAGATTTGAAGAGCTGCAAAATAAAGCAACTTACCATCATGAGTTACAATTGTTATGCCTTCAAGGGGAACGAAGTCAGGATTATTCTCTGTGGGGGTGTGCTGCTGTGGTTGTGAGGGAAATGCTGTGGTGGGCTGGTCCTGTTGACTCACACTAGTCACGTTAGGGGATACACTCTGAGGCTCTGTTGTCATATCATTTCGTTCTATCTTACTCAGCTTTGGTTCTGGTGAATTAAGCAATGAAGTTCAACTTAAACATTAAACAAAAAAAAAAGAGTTATTCAACATGTGTATTGAAATTCACAAATTTTGATGTATGTGTCAAATGTTACTAAACTCACATAGCTATATATTTAATGTGATAGAAGACATACCTGGTTCAAATGGTTTGAACACTTCAGTTCTGAGCTTGGGCAAAAATGTGTCAATTTTATCCCAGGTTAGCTTCCACAACATAGACTCAGTGCCATCAGCAGTTTGAAAAATCCCTGCAGTTTCCATAACTAGCAGCATGTTTTTTAAACTTTCAGGTATGGCTTCAGACTGGAATTTAAAGGATGATCATTTACAATATGATACAATAAAAATAAACTTGCATGGTTGGATCAAGTATTTCAAATAAATTGTTTTAAAAAGCTGAAAAACTTAATCATGAAGATAAGTTATTTAAAGATCAGATTTACACAAATGGTGGGCAAGTCTCACAACACTGCTGAAGGGAACTTGACACATGATGATCAATGAAAGCTAGTGCATTAAAAACTCACCAACAAATCACTGCGGTCAGCACTCATATATTTCTCCATAAAGTCCAGAATTGTGAGCCACAATGCCGTGAATGTGGATAAAGACAGAAGAGGGCTGAGATGCTGTAAAAACACCTAGAGTGGAAAGAAATCAATAAGTGTGTCAGCTTTCAACCAGATTACAAAACACATGACCAAAGAGAAAGTAATAAGAGGTACCTTGCAGAGTAGAGTGGAAGCTCTCATTCTAGTCTCCTCCATGCCATTTGGATCTGATGAATTAATGTTTTCCAGAAGCTTGGTCAGTAGAGGAAACAAAACCTGGAGAACCATAAACCAATGTCAGAACTTTAAACCATCAGAACAGAGGACAAAGGCTAGATGATTATTTTACTTTAAATATTTTTTAATATAATTATTTTTGCTAGTTGTGTACTAACATCATCAAATAATTACTTAACTAGGCAATTATGATGTTCCCATGACATACTTAACTTAAACTAGATTCCTATTACATACTTTACTAAAACTAGATTCCTATTACATACTTTGTTAAAACAGGATTCCCATTCAATGGCTGAGAGTGTTTGCAGATCATGGACTAGAAGAGCTCTCTGGAGGTAGGTTAAAGCTAAACTCCTAACTTGTCGCCTTGAATCACAACACAGTCTTGCTATCCCTGATTACGGTCAAAAGTGACTTGTTTTATTTTATTATTTTAGACATAAAATAATGTCAGTTATTTCTAGATCTTAAAATAAAAATCAGTAACATTCACATTAGGAGAAATAAAAAGCTAAAAATCATTCTTCAGTGTAATTCATTTTAAAAGCATAAACATTAAAACTTTATAAAATAAATGTGTAAGAGATTATTACCTTGTAATAACGGACACCAACATTTTCCCCATAGAGTTGGAGCCTTGGCATCGACAATGATCCCTTGACTGTTGACACGAGTCAAGCCAGATCTTTTGATGGCAGGTGTGCCACAGGCATCCACCTGCTCCTCTTGTGCCCAGGAACTGAATATGGCTGCTGCCCTTGTGTGGAGTGTGTGCATCAGGTCCAACAACTGTATGGACATGAGCTGCAAGCTGAAAAAGTAAACAAGCTTTAACTGTTAGTTCAGAAGATTCTTTAATTTGATTCGTTTTGTCACTACTTTAATAGATAAACAAAACTATCATTGATATGCAGCTCATGAGAGATACATTTTTTTTAATTAAAAAAAAATCTGTTTCACACCTGCTTTGTGTTGCCTCTCCATCAGGGTCCTCATCTGACTGAAGACCTTCATGTAACTGCTCAGGTGTTGATGAAGATTTGCCCATTTTTGTATTGACCCTCTTCACTATTTTTTTGTTGTGTTTGTTGTCTCTCACTGAACCACTACGGATGGGAGGTGTGCGGGCTCGACCTTTCAATTGTTCAGAAAAATAGGCATTAAAAGAACTGCACTGTTGAATGAATTAGTTTATAAAGGGCTAGCATAAAGCCATTATAAAATATAACTTTAAAATGTAATAAAAAAAAACTTGTAAAAAAGCCGAGAGTAATGCATTAATTACCTCCATTAACACCAGCCTCAACAAATGTTCTAATGCAATGGACGCAGCTCTCAAAGTTGTGAGGAGTGACATGAGCAGCATCTCTTACCAAGAAGGTCAAGGTTTCAGTGGATTTAATTAGTGCACGGCTATCAGGGAACAGCAGGTTCTCGTTAAGGTCAATACTGTACTGATTGACTGGCATCCTGCTACTTTGATGATCTTTTCTATTCACCTGTAAATTGGACATTTTTAATTAACTGATGGTAATTAGGTATCTGTTACCTAAATGTTTTGGTTCCTGCTGTGCTTATTGGTTGATCCCCTACCATCTGGGGTTTATGTTATAAGATTAACAAACATATTGTAATATCCAGTTTTTTAATATAACTGAAAAGTAATACTTTATAGAAAAAAAAGGAATTAAACATAGGGCAAGGCTTACAAATCAGTCAAAAGCTTACACCCATGCTCATAGAATGTAAATATATTCATGACTTCTCCATAAATTAAAATTACCATCATCCAGCTACTGTTGTCAGGGACCGGCCTTAGCTCCAGACCCAGGGGATGGCTGTGGTTGGCAGATTGCTTTTGACTAGGATGACGGCTCTGGCCCGCTTCGTACAACTCACTATCTGATGTGTAGCCCCTGTCACTTTCTACTGATGCACCATTGACACTTTGAACTTCACTGTCACTTTGAGCTCCTAGTTATTTAAATGTGGTTGTTATTATTACAGAAATATAAATAAATATGATCATAATATAGTAACAAATGTATACAACTTTATGTTGTTATTATTACAGAAATATAAATAAATATGATCATAATATAGTAACCAATGTATACAATTCTAGGTATAACTACCAAGTGAATGTACCTGCATCACTGATGACTTCTGCCAGATCTAAATCAGGACAAACTTGTAAGACAGGAGGCAGATTGGCACCTGCCCCAGCTACTTCTAGCATGGTGAATAATGTGTACCAGTCCTGGCTGGTGTGAATGTTGGCAGCATTTGTTTTAAGCAAGTCGTGTAGACCAAATGATATCTAAAATAATGGAAATATGTTTTCTTTCAATCTCATGTTGTATTTTAAAAGGAACATTTTTATTCCTGTCAATGAAAACAAACAAGATTGAGTTACCTGTCTACTAAGACTGTGAACAACATTGGGTTTCATCATAAGTAAAATCCTGAGAGAGGTAAGAACTTGTGGAGCAATCTCCTCCCTACGCAGAAGTCTAATAGAAATACGCAGGAGACCAACTACTGCTCTTTCAACCAAGAATGAGTGGCTATTGCTATTAACAATGATGTTGTAGAAGTGGTCTCGAACTGCCTGCCACACAGGTGCTATTCGATCTCTATAAACATAATAGATAATAAATTATAACATCATGTACAACAGCTGAGAGCTAATTAAAAATTGATATACTAATTAATTAAATGATGCAACAATGAAATATACCTGTTCTGAAGAACCACACAAACCAAGAGCTCAAGGAAGAAAACACATGCATCTTCATCATAAAGACCATTCATACTCCCCTGGTCTTCTGTTCCTTGTCGGATGGAAACTAACGACTGCAACAGCAAGAACACAATTTGAGACATTATCTCACTTTTAAAATTTAGACATTTTATTAAGAATATGTAAAATTTTGAGTTTTACAGAGTATAAATAGTTATTATAGGACTATATAAAGTGGTAAAACTAAAACTAAGAAAAAGTACTTAATTCATTATGAGCCAATTGTGCTATTTAAGATTGCAAAGACCAAATGTACCTTAATAAGTTCTTGTAGGGAGTCCTCTCTGAGAAATTTACTGTCCAGGATGAGGTGGTCTAGCTGACAGTCTCTGACACAGCTTGCAGCATATTTGCCAGCCTCCAGGTCCTCAGCACTTGGTCCTTTTGTACTGGCTGATTCGGACAATGAGAAATAGGACACAATGTTGCTCAGTACGCCTGTCTCTGACCTGTTACAGAAAAGAAACATTTTATCAGCACCTAAAAGAATACATTATTTTAAGAAAAATATTTAACATAAACTAACAAGATATATTTTTAAATTACACTGTCATTTTACCAGACTGACTTTAAAAAAAAAAAAGAAATGAGAATATAAACTACCTTGTTTAAAAAAAAATGTTTATAAAAATTACCTCGTCATTGCAGCAGATTCTTCGCGAAGGATACAAATCTTCCCAGAACTATCAGCAAAGTCTTCAACCTGCAAGAATATCAATAACCATATACCATCTTCTAACATTTATTCTGTGATCAATCAAATTTTGCAACTGGTGACGGGTAAAAAATGTAAGTGTATCAGTTAACTACCTCAACCATAGTTTTGGGGAGCAATTTGGCTCTATACAGCTGAAGCATGCAGTCCATTATGTTTTTCCATCCTTCACGAAGAATGTCCCCATGGCGTTGAGCCAATCCAAACACTGTACGAGCAGCCAACTGAGCTTTGAAGTTATTACCAAATGAAGCTGGAATTGTTTCTGGACTCTGAAAGAAATAATTTTAAAATGTACATTTTAAATGTTAAATGTGCTAGTTAGTAAAACTATTTGGAATTGTTAAAAAACATTTTTTTTTTATAAATATATATAATAAATAAATAAAATGTTCCTATTTATAGATTACCTCAACAGCACTGAGCAAAGTAGTAAATTTACAAAGAGAAATGACCAAGTTATCAAAGACATCACTCATGCCATAATGAGCTGAAATCATGGCACATTTTCTGGAAATAAAATATGAAAAAAAATCAGTAAAAATAACTAATAACCCTTTTCAGGTGAGATGGGAAAACATTTTAGGAAACTTGGAGAAACCCATAATTTTAAGGCATGCATTAAAAAAAAAATTTAATATTTAGAAAGCAGTACCTAAAACCTGACACAGCTTTCTGGATGATTGTTTCTTCTGAGCTTTTATCAAACACAAATGACAGAGCAGCCACAGTTGGCCCCCAAATTAGTGTAAACAACTCATGGTCAAATGCACCTGTTGGGGCATGGTAAAATATGCCTTCTTTTGACGTTCCCCTCTGAAGCAATACCTGGGGAAATAGGATATTGCTTAGTCCCATGGCTTTTCTATAAAAACACAAGAAAACAGAAATAACTAGAATGGACAAGATTACCTTCCAGAGATAATTTTCTTTTACCAAGCCACTGTGTTCTGCTGGCATCACTATTTCCTCATTTCTATGGCCAAAGAAAAAAATGTAAAAGGCATTTCAAAACACTGGATTATATAATCTCTCAGGACTGTAATTTAAAATATAATAAACTTCTAAAAGTGCACTGCATAATTTACTTATTTTTTGAAGAAAAACTATAAGATTATTTAGAAAATCTCATCTTAACAAACAGGTTGTAGGCCTACTAACTTTATGGCTTGAAAGATATCCTGTAGCATATCCTGGTCAAAATCTTCACCACCATTTACTTTAGAAACATTCCTCTTAAAATCCTGTGTAAACAAGATATGTAAGTAACAAAAAAAAACAACAACTAATTGACTTGAATCTAGGTGATTTAAAAATGTGTCCAGAAAAATACAAAAAGTTTTAATCCTTCTTACCTCGCTTGTCATGGGTACATTTTGTTTCTTAGCATTGTGGTTGTGTTGATCCACATTCAACATGATCACAGCATAGGTCAGGGTGAAAGCTGCATCAACATTATGGAATGGTTCTCCATTGCTCTTCTAAATATTTCAAAAGAAACCAAATAATTAGGCCTATTTTAATGAAGAAAAGTATCATTATTAACAAATAAGCATTTAAAACTGTCTATTTAAAGCCTTATTTATCTATATAGAAAATTTAGTAAATGAAAATTTAAAAAAAGAATCTATAACCAAGTTAATGAAGAGATATATAAAAAGATATATAACAGAACCTACATGCCAGTGTTCAGCAAAATGTTCCATCAAATATGATATAACCGGGGCTTCTCCTGGCATTCGGAAAGACTCCAGGTACATTCTTAGTGCTTCATCAACACGTGTGTCTTCAAAATTAAATGCTCTAAAAAAAAAATCAATGTTGCAACATCTACACATTGAATAAATAAAAAAGTAATGTTTGATGCTCAGTTTTGCAGAAAGTAAAAAAACCATCTAAATTTTAAAAATTGTTATTAAGATAAGAGTTTAGCTGTAAATAAAAGAAAAGATTTTCAATATTAAAATGACTTACTTAACATAAGCCTCAAGAACTTGTTTATTCCTTTTGTCACTGATGTATTCACCAATCATCTTTTTGTCAAGGCTGTGATTTTCCCTCAAAAAGATGACAATTTCAGCTGGACTGAATGGTTTGGATAACAGTCCTTGGTCTTGGAGATACTGCAAACCTTTAGATGGTTTGTTATTAAACAGTTCTGTCCCTGTTTGATAAATCTGGAGAAAAAAATGTTGGGTTTAGTTGTATGCTACCATGAGTGCATCATACCTACACTGTCAGATCCTCTAACCTCCACAACGTTATTCTTCAACATGAACCAAGCTGGGACAACATTAAATACTTGGATTGATTTACAATTTATAAAAAATCCTTATAAATGTTATACTTATAACCCAAAAATGTGATGCCAGATTCTCTCTCCCCCCCCCCCCCCCCACAATAGTCTTAAAGGACAGAACTTACAGATAAAACCAGGGGCAAGAATGTTAAAAGTAAGATGTCTTAGAACAGAGCATACCTTTTTCTTTTGTTTGAGTTCTATAAGTTCCTCATGTGTTGGTATTCTGCTGGAGAGTTTCATCATTCTATTGGGCTTTATAGAAGGTCCTTTTTTAGCATCTTTGCCTCTGATAGATTTGGGTCTCTCTGAAACATAGTAATAAGATAATTAATAGCGTTTTTAAATTTCAATAACATAGTAATTTTACTTCACAGCACATTAGCTAGAAATTACATATTAAACAAGTTAATTAAAAAGTCTAGTGACATTTAAGCGCAATTTCCTGATGTTATCTAAAAATAGCTCTGTCGTAGCGTAAATCAAGAGCAGGGTTAGTAAAACCATTGGTTAGTTATTAAAACGTTTTTTATTAATTTTTTTTCCAGTATTTTACATGTTTTATTTACAATAGAGTTACATGACTAAAAACCTTTGCGCGCCTAGCTACCGAACGTGATGTCGCAGCCATTGAACGTGATGGCGTAGCTATTGAACGTGATGACGCGTGTGGTGTGGTTGGATAAAAATGCCTACTAATTCGGTCCAAATTTTAATTAATTAAAAAAAAAATTTGTGACCGAACGAAAGGATATTTTTGAAAAACTTTCTTCTGCAATATTGTTCTACATTATGGCAGGAATCGATTGGTACATGTTTCAAGTCGCTAAGTGGTCTGGTTGCCGAGATATGGGCCAAAAACTGCATTTTTTCAAGGTTTTTTGGCTTTTCCGGGAAATCCATAAAAGAAACCCGGAATTTTTTTTGGCCTATGTTCATCCTCGTAATTAGCTTAACATAATTGCTTTTGGAACTAGTCCTCGATATTGCTTCGTTGAGGAGGAGATACGACTTAAAGCTGCGGACACACATCCATTCATACATCCAGAAATGACGAGTTAATAAACGCAATTCTCCAGAATGGAAATTGCGCTAAAAATCTTTATTGCTAACACAAAAATACATTGTTAAAAAAAATAACCAAGTAATATTAACAAGCAATTTTCCAAATTGTGTCACTCACCTATCTGTCCCTCAGTTGTCTTTTTGCTACCTGGATTGTCAGAACTAACAGCAACAGTCTTTGCTAAAGTACGAGTGTGACAGTGTTGCTCTATACAATCAACTACAGTCAACAGTGCATCCAGTGACAGTAAATGGATAGTATATAAACCTGAGACAGGAAATGCATTCTGTGGAGAGACACAAGAAACTCTGAAAAATTTGTAATCGATAAAGCAGACAATTCTTACAGCTACAATACAAGACAGCTATAGTATATAGCCTATGTTATTTACTCACTTAAAAATGATACTCTTGTAACATACTTATTGTTTCTTTTTACATTTTAAAACTAAAGTTCCGCAGCTTCATCAAGAGAACAGTTTAAAGTTAAATTTTACTGATGATTAAGAATTATATTTGTGTTAAATGAAACTTTTAATTAGATGATAGAGCAGGGCTATTTAAGCAAGTAATAGTTTACCTTTGAAAGTAGTTTTGTCATGTCATCAAAGAGGTTTGAACAGTAGAGATCACAGTCATAGTTCAAGTAGAGCTCTGTCACTAGACCAGGGATTCTCCACATCTGGACTATCAGGTCTAGGGCAATCTCTCTATGGTCATAAGTAATTTTCAAACTGTCTGATGTTATCAGTTCACTCACTCGCACAATATAGTTCTGAAACAAATTTAACAAGTGTTTAATACAACAAGCCACATTTTTTTTATTTCTAGTGAATGGATGACTGGTGTATATTTACTGGTATTGAATTTTAAATATGAATACAGACCTCAAGCTGTAGTTTCAGATGAGACCTCATGGATTCAAACAACAAGAAACTGAGCCTCAGCGATGCAGAAAATATAGATAGCCTCTCTGATTGCAATAGCTGTTGATAAATGACAAGGCAAATTCAGTCAGTCTGTACCATTTTGCAGTTTGCGAACAATGTTCAACAGTGTTTATTACATGCTAACGTTCAACAATAATAAACAATTTAAAATCAAACTTAACTTCACCTAAGCAAGATTAAAGTAAAATACAAATTCAATAAGAAAGTTAATTCTAGAGGTCCTCACCATGGAAAGATTACGACTTAACTCATCTTTAACAAGGTAAAGAAGGGAGTTGTAGGAGCTAATGTGATCTGCTGCCGTCTCCAGCCCAACAATCAACAAACTCAGTCCCATGTGTATCATAACATCAGTGTTGTGACGGTCAAGTGGGTTGGTCAGCGAGACAAGAAACCGAAATAACTCTCTCACACAGGGAAGACCATATGGAATCAGTGTGACTGGACCAGCTGACAATAAAAATATACATTGGGCATTGGTGTAACATGACCAGCTGATAAGGACAATAGATATACAAGCTATATAGTGTATGACTGAAGTTATCTTAAAATTATAAAATTAGCATGTATATTGACATTTTAATTAATTACTATTAAAGGGAGTACCTTCAATCATCTGCTGCTGTTGGTTCTGTAGGAATCGAACTCCCTTGGGGTTAATAAATTCACTGTCCTGCGCAAGTGTGGTGTCAGTGGAATGAACAGACTCATTGTCGTCACAGACCTCTCCTTCACCATTCTGCTCACTAGAGTACAAATCTGTTTCACTCTGTGCCTTCTGTCAAAAGTATTCAAAATGATGTAACACAAGAAAATACACCAAAATACAGTGAGGAAATTTAAAAATAAATAAAATTGTATCATTCGTTGTTATAATTTAGCTAAGAAAACAAAAGATGTTTGGACATACTCTCAATAAAGATGGATCAACACTTAATTCTAGAGTGTTAGGAGATTGGTGTCCTACAATAGAATATGAATTATCACTACTTTCTTTTTGATCGTTGCTTCGTAGGGCTTCAGCAGCAGTTTCTTCATTTACCAAAACTGAAACTGTACTTTCAATTTCTGGTGTGCATTCTTTGGAAGCGGCCTGCAAAATAAAAGTTTATATATTTATATTAAAATTTGTAACAAATATTTAAAAAAAAATAATAGAAAAATCATACTTATGACAAAGTGGATATATACAGGTTATATCTAGGTTGATAAAACTAACCTCAAATGTTTTAGCAACATCGATGATAGTATCTTCTTTGCCAAAGCCAGGTGTGGTTGCAAGCCTTTCAGTGGAAATGTGTTCAAATTCAGACTGAGAATCTGAGATGATTTCTGTAGTAGCACTATCCACAGTTTCTTTGGCCTCCATTATAGTTGGCTGAATTGTGTCTGTAGTTTGCTGAGAAGGGCCGTGGCTACGTTTGGTTTTTGGTTTAGGTGATTTTTTCCTCTTTCCAATTCTTGCAGGGTCTACACCCCCAGTCCGCATCTTTAACTAAAAAAATATAGTTATTTAGCATACATCTAGATAATTAAATGTAGCAATCTAGCTTTAATTAAAGGCAATTCTGACTGTCGATTTAGGTAAACCATGAAAACATAAAAACCTTTTTGTTTATATTTGTGATCCATTTAGGGTCTTCTTTGAAGTATGGCAGTCTTGTAAATAATAAATGTACCATATCACGGAGAGTATTTTCAGCTGACTTTCTGAGAAGCTCTGTGGATGATTTATAACTGAATTTACCAACAATATAAATGTCAAAATGTTAAATAAAGTAAAACTTACAAAACATACTATAGTGCTATAATGAATACTCTTTAAATGTTATTAAAATTACTTACCACTAAGTTTCATCTCAAAACATATTCTGAAGCAAGACTGCATTATCTCACACACCGATTCATTGGTTAATAATGTACCAGCTGGGCACAATAACAAGGTGCGCAATACCTGGAAAATAATTATGTCAAGACAATCAGTACTGGTAATATATATTACAATGGTAAGAGTAATACCTCAGAAGAGGAGTAAAGTTTAAAAGGTTAAGATTAACATGAAATTAAAATATAAAATGTAACTTACATAAAGTATCTTCATTAAAATCACTTCATCTGATGATGGATCAGTGCCAACAAATCTAGCATGTGTGACAGCATCTGCGATATTTTCAATGGCTGCAGCTGAGTTATCACTTGCTGGATCTAAAATTCAAGTTTGATAATGGTGATGTATTAAACAAAATAAGTGTTGGCAAAAGCATTAAACAAAATAACATGCTGGCAAGAGCATGAACTAAAACTGTCAAATTCAAACAAAATTAAATTGCATATTAATCTACACCTGAATTCGATTCTTACCTACAAGTCCATATGTTAAAAATTTGTTGATAGAGTTCAATGCTAAACCAGTAATGGGACCAGTAGTATCTTCTGAGCGTATAACATCAAGGAAAGGACTCAGAAAAGCATTTGCCTCTATTTCATTCAACTCTGTAATGACATAAATAATAAACAAAATTTTAATTCCTTGATTTAATAATGATGTGCCGTTTTTCAAATTAACAAGGGTTTGATAATCATTCATTAATTAATTCTTACAACTGTTCTATTGTGTTACCTGTTAAGTTATATAGAACATCCTTTAATTGGAAAAAGGAATTCTGCAGAAAGTCACCCTCATCATCCTGCTATTAAAATATAAAATGTGCAGGTTTTATAAATTCACAATTTTCATTATTATAAAACAGAAGTAAAAATAAAAGATTCAACAGTGATTAAATATTTTATACAATGGAAAATCCCAAGTATATTTAAGAGGAATTTAAAGTATAATTACAAACGATGTATAATTTTCAGACTTATATCATTTGGAAAAATTACTTTTCTTATATCATTTTAACAACAAACACAAGACGAATATTAACAAGCAAACATACATGCCGTCCATGTCTATGACCACCATAACGAGATGTCCTTCTCATAGCAGTAATGAGAAGGGCGATTTCCCCCTGAACAATGTAGATGCCATTTGTGAGAGCCAAAGCCATCTGAAAAATTTTAAAAACAATGTTGCGATACTTTTTAAAAATGATAACAATTCTATACACAGATTACTGAGATATACTGACAATAAAAAATAATAACATTGTTTAATAACAAGTGTTATTTTAACAACAAGGTAAAAATATACACAGTTGTACATTTTATTTATGGTTTCATTCTGTTTACCCAGAAGGATTTGCTAATAAAATAATCTGTAAGTGTCTGTTTTTAATCAATTATTATTGTTTTTAATGTCACATTTATTGTGAAGCAGAAGTCACTTGTTTCAATGACCAATTGTGGTCAGCACTGCCTTTACTTTCCCTATTGTGAGTCAGGTACCCATTACAGCTGGGTGGACTCAAGATGTTCTACAGTCTAGCCTGGGATCCAAGCTCAAACCTAATAGATGCTTGATTTTGTTATTGTAATTTTTGCTAGGTCTTACCTTTAATGTGATTGTAAGATGAATAGAAATGGAGAATTTCTTTATTTTCTTGCAAACATTTTCTTCAATACAACCTATAAAGGCCTAACAAATATATAGATGTATTAGATAAATTTAAAAAAAAAAGGATACACCAGAAACGATAGGCTTGCATGTGAATTTAATAAATTAGACTTCATTAGACCTATAATTTAACTAAGTGTTCATTAATATAGGCTTATTTCTATAGTCATATAGGCCCCATTTTAAATAATTATAGGGCTAGTTGTGAGATCCAAATAGCTATAGCCTTAGTTTATTATAGTAGTAGTTAGGGCCTAAGTAGTAGTCTTTTATTTATTTAGAGTGCTACTAAAAAACTACTAACTAATGAATGACACTGTTACTTAACTTTAACTTACTACTTTAAGTCAGACTATTACAAGTATTACTACACTCACTAGGGCTTAATCTAGATAACTACTACTACTAGTAATATAATTAAAAATTAATTATTAATACAAACTGGAACTAGATCTATATAGTATAGTATAATAATTTACTAATTAATTAGGCCTAGTAGTAATTACTAATTAGCATTTAGATCAACCATAGTATAGTTAGTAGATCTAGATCTATATACTGCTTCAGTCAACGTCTATAAGAAATCTAGATCTGGATTTGACATTAAGAGATCTAGATATACTAAGAATTGACTAAGATAGAGAATCAACTCCATGGTTTGTGCAGTCAGAATCTGGATTTTGTGATTATTACAAAATTATCCCAAATAAATTTGGATTTTGAATTGCAAAAAATCAGTATACATTTCAAATATAGGGTTAACAATTAAAAGATGCCTTGTATTGACCTTTGTTTCAGAAGAACGTTATTTACATTGTGTTGTTTCTAAATAAATAGAAATTAATCATTGCGTTTAGTTGCTACTATCCACAACATCACAATATCAATATGACGTGGTAATCAATGCGCGTAAGATGTCGCTGGCAAGGAAGCAAGGGATACAACTCTGGAGCTTTCTGGTTGTATGTCCTCTTCCATATTGTAAAATATACTATGTACCGAAAACGCACAAACAAAACCGACAAAAAATTCATTTCTACGATTATTAGTAGAGTCAAGTATAACATCCTAATATATAAATCCCCACGTTCGCACATCTCTCTCTCTCTCTCTTTCTCTGTCCGCAAAAAATTTTCGCCGGACATCACGTCAGAATCGGTAGCGATAAATCGAGAACTTTTTACGGACTTTTGTTGAAAAAAATATGTTAGATGTTTTAAATGTATAACCACAAAATTATTTAAAGAAGAAAAATAAAAAATAAAGGCGTATTCGAATATAGAGAAACAGTATTATTTATGCAACCGGAAAAGCATTAATATATGTGAAAAAGAACGCATAAAACTGTGACGTCACTATTGCTTATACATTAACTAATGACGTCATCTGCCGTGTTTAGAATGAAAAGAAATGAACTATTTAATTCAAATTTGATTTAGATCTACGTACACTATGAAATGTATACAATACAATTTTTCCGGCCTAAACTCATAAAATTTATTTTATGTGTTTGGATTCTAGATCTAGAGATTCTAGATCTAGACTAAATCTAAATCTAAATCTACGCAATAACTAGATCTAGACGTAGACGCTAAGATCTAGATTTAGACTCTAACTTCTCTAAAATCAATTCCAAAAATAAATTTCTATATTAGGACTAAACTATTTCAAGACTTATTTATTTTATACAAAATCTTTGTTATGAACTGGCTAATTTGGGATAAAAAATTAATTTGAAAGAATAGGCATATTCGCGTAAGTTAAGATTTTAAAATACGTCTTTCATTCTCCGTATTTTATAAGGTGCCTAAATAGCGGAGATGTTAGTGTACATTAAACCACGCAGGTGGTGCGGGTTCGAGACACAGCAAGTCAGCTTGGTTAATGTATTCTTTTTTATTATGCTCGGGCTAAACTTAAAAAAAAATTCTTTTAGGAATCTAGCTCTAGATCTAGATTGTCGGGTGTCCGATAGGGCACTTCCCGGCGCCGCAGGCGCTTCAAATTTGGCATGATCTTGCCTTGGTGCGACAGAACACGGGGGCCGGTTGGCCGAAAAGTCTACGATGTGGGGGTCAAAACTGACCTCGACTGACCGGTACCTTATATGAGCTATAAATCGAAAAAAAATGTCCACGGAGGAACCTCTTCATAACTCTTGAGGTCGTAGACCGACCTTCGGGCGAATTAATTAAGCATTCAAATTCTCAATGTTTTCGAAAGCCTAAGCGAAGCTGGGCAGCATGCCTAGTTAAATTGTAAAATGCAACGAGTAATAGCGTTAACCAAAACATAAATATTAAATATTTATGCTTTAATCATCATATTCGATAAATAAGGAGGGTTTACGAGAGGAATATTTGTTTTTGTTTAGCTATTACAGCAATTTAAAATTTAGCTACCTTAGACGAGGAAAATATATCTTTTGCAGTATACGTGGTGTAATCCTAGATGTAGATATAGATCGCTAGATGTAGAATCTAGAATCTATTTGTTTAAATAAAAGTGTAGAAAGGTCGTATTACAACAGGGAAGTAAAGAAGAGCAACTTATACTCGCCGGTTCTGAAAATCTTATATTTGATTATTTAAGCTTATATTGGATGTTAATTTTTAAAGAACCATTATATTTTTGTGAGCATCAGTTTTCTTTAAGAAATTTAACAACAGCTGGGTTTTTTATATTTGCAGTACGTCTTGTCGATGTCATTATAGTTCTCATATTGTGACATTTTCAAAACGGAAAAGCAAACTCTATACTCTGCACCGTTGACAGATATTGTGCTACGTTCAGTTGTGAATTTAACAAAAGCTTCTCTTCGGGGAGGCACCTCCCCTCCCCTAGTACGTCCTCAGCCCCGGACTTAATCGAAGAAATAAAATATATACAGAGAAAATATATACTTTAACCACCCCCCCCCCCCCCGAGAAAAGAGGAAGCTGTCTTAAAGAAACCCCGGAGATGAAGGTGATACCTGAAGTTATCGCCCATGTCACATCTGGCTAAGTGACGAAAATGCAACTTTTTTTCGGTAATTAAACGAATTTTGTGGAAATTTCCGTTAATAAAACGAAAGTAAAAAGAAGTGAAGACGGTTGCTGCTAATATTGACTGCTAAGTTGCTAACTTCGGACTTCAAACTAGATCTAGAACCCACAGTTTAATGCCATGTTGTGGTCTGTTATTTTTGCCATTCTGTATATATTATATACTATAGTATATAGATTGGCCCTGCTTGTGATACTGGTACTGACACTGATCACTGTGACTGACACTGAGGGTCTGTGACACTAGCTTAGTGACAGGTGTCAGGTAGGGTAAAACTCCATTTTAGCGTATTTTATTCTCCGTTGCTTGTTTACCTCCAGTTGAGCGTATTTTATTATAATAACCGAAACACACCAAAACATTAGGAAAACACGATTTATTTATTTGTATTGTATTTTTGTTTTAACAAATGAATAAATTTATAAAATTGAATAAAAAAAACAAACAAAGAGACTGACTTTGTTTTAGATTTTGATAATTTACTTTTGTCAAAACTTGAGAAAAAATCCAAATTTAGAATATTGAATGTGCTAGATCTATGTTCGTGTGTCAGTTAGAATTTTCATGGCAATGGGTGAAGTAATACTCACAATTACAAGGCGGTTAAGTTTGTATTGTTACAAGTATCTCCCAGGCATGATACTATAAATAAACATTTATGCACTTGCAATGACCCCAAAACTGAGGCCAACACAATTTCAAACAGCTATTGCCTGAGCTATGACGTATGCTGACAATTAAAGTCAATGTGAACTCACAGTGAACCCTCGACTGTGTAAGGATTTTTCTCCCGTTGACGATCACACGATATTTAATTGGACCAGTTCTAATGCTTTTTTATGTGTTTTTTTTACATTTTCTAATTAAAAATCACATTCATAAAAAATAAGTAGATCTAGTGTTTTCCTAACATTTTTGTGTGTTTTGGTTGTGTTTATAATAAAATACGCTCAACTGGAGGTGAACGTGAAGCGGGGGAATAAACACGCTAAAATGGAGTTTGACCGTCAGGTAGTTGTACTCATCAGGCTGGTCAGTGTCCTCAGCCTCAGTCAGTGTCCTGTGTACTGTGTAGTTTGCCCTGCGTGTTAAGTTTGAGTTACAGTTTGTCAGGTGTAAGACCGCAAAGCGCTGTTCGAGGTTAACTTGAAGATTCCAGAAAATTAGAAATCTACTAAACTAAGACAGTAAATCTAATATTTATAATACTGTTATACATTATTATACAATAATAATAATTTTATTAATTTATATATAATTATATATAAATGATTAATGATTTGAATGATCACAATGATGAAATGTTGTTACTTTATTAATTTTTATTGATTATTATTATTATTAATCTATTGTAAATTCTAACAAATCCAAGTATTCTCTAATAATATTGATAATATTTGCAACGATCAAAAATCATTTAAATGTACATACTATGTACTACATAGGCCTATATAATAATAATACTATATATAATTCATCTAAATATACTACAGCCGCTATATAAGTTTAAGTAGTTTAGAGGAGTTGTCCATAAATGACATCACATTCTAAAAGGGGGGGGGGGGGGGTAGTTTGCAAAATTTTGCAAGTTGTTGGGAGGAGGGTGGTTATAAACTGTATTAAACTGAATTTTAGCCATTATTTTTGTTTATAAAGGCTTTTTTTTTAAGCACATCAATTGCTGATGACCCCCCTTCCCCATATATAATATACAACTCTACCCCAACACTAGGGATTTAGGGCTTAAAGAACCTGGCTATAGCATTAAGCTACATTGCCTAGTAGTATTAGATACATTTCAAAGTAAAAATTATTATTTTTATATTCCTCAGTGGATTGTGCTGTGCCTATATATTCTAAATCTATTTGATACTACTATCTCTAGTATCTCACATCGGAGTCTTGGACCCAGTCTATTAACTAGTCCATATTTACACATTGGTGTATACAGTCTTGTGAGTTATAGTATATTATAATGGATAATGTATTACTCATCTGTGGTTTTGAAAACATCAGATCTGATTTAAGATCTTTGAGTGAAAAAAGAGGTGTTACTAGTCTGCTTTTGTGCTTTCCCATGTTAAGCTATGTTTTCTATAGATCTAAATGGCATAACATGGAGTTATAGAGGTGGAAAAAAAAATTCAGGGGAGAGCAGTGATAGTGATTTCAATTAAAAATGCTCAGGGCTGGATCATGAGGGGCATAAACTACATCTTAAAAATGCTATCTGCTTTACTGAGATCTAATAGTGAAAGAGTCCATGATGGTTTTATGGAAGTGAGAAAGTTTGAGGTGAGGGCAGTGTTACTGATGTGTCTTTGATCTCTTCCCTGCTGGACCATGATGGTCATTAGCAACCTCTGCTTGGCTGAGACCTAAGAACAATAACTCTGTTACTGATAGTAAATTATAAACTAATATAATTTGTCAACATTAACTCTTTTTTTAACACAGACCCTGTCGCTTATCCTAACTCTTACCATAACATGTAATCTGATAACACAACGCTACTAACATTGGTAGAAGAAAAACTAAACAAATTGGTAATTGTATTGTAAATCCTTTCCCAGGTTAAATATTTTGAAAAGAGTGGTGCTAAATAAACAATACTCATTTTCTGTATTGAAATATTTGCATGGAACAGTTTGTAGAAAGCAATCAACAGCAGCTTTATATGTACATGTGAGTATTTTTTTACTCTATTCATTTAATAGTTATATAGCTAAAGAAACTAAACCTATGAAGTATGAAGTGGATTGTAGTGATCTATCTAAAATCTAGCTACATATGATGTGCCAGAACACAGCAAGAGGTAACTGGCATAAATCTTTTAGAAAGAAAAATATACAAATAAATTTGATCATTTTCTTTTTTGTTTCTTTCTTAGTGGCCATTTTGTAAGAGAAGGTGTACATACTGCAATTTTAACAAATATATAAAGTAAGTTGGTCTTGGCTCTGTATGTTAATAACTGAAGCTATATTAAAATTATTAGGCTCTATGTAATATAAATAAAAGCTATACATTTTTCTTAAAAGTAAATCTTTCTCCTTTGTTTTAATGATCCATTAAATAATGTAATATTTTAACTGCTGTTAGAAAGAGTTTGTCATTTCCAATGGGGCTATCAATAAATAATAGCTTAAATTAACATTATAACAATGAGATTTTAAGAAATTAAAGTTTTATTTTATGATTTAGTAACTCTGTAGACCATGAGCGTATGAAGGCATGTCTCATAAAGGAAGCTGACACATTAATCAGGTTAGCTGGAGTTACAGAAATTACATCAGTATTTTTTGGAGGTGGTAAGTACATGTTGAACAATATTTGAATTGTTTTAGCTCTAAAAGTAAACATGTAAAATATAGTTGATTAAGCATAGGACAAGAAATTTCCAGGCAACTCAGTCATCAGTTATTAAATATGATATTATCTTTTTTTAAAAGCATAATATTTCTTTCTTGTTTTAGAAAAAAAAATTTGTTAACATAACTATTACATCATTTGAATGTCAGGTACACCAAGTCTTGCAAAACCAGAAACAGTGAAAGCTCTTTTGGAATCTGTTAAGAGTTTAGTGTCAATTAAAAACAATGCAGAAATTAGCCTGGAGGTCAATCCAACCTTTCTTGAAATAGAAACACTGAGGTGAGAATTTACATGTACATTTTTTGTGCAAGTTGTCGTATTTTGAAATACAAAAGGATTTCCCAGGGTTATAGCAGGTTTTCAGTTTAAGGTGAGCAGTACTTGCCCCAGGCTAGTCTGGTCACTCACCACTTTAATCAGCCTCTGACCATCAGTTGTATCTTTTTAAAATACTGCCTATCTCAATTCATTCAATAAAGCTAGCTTGAACATTGGGCTAGTAATTCTATTCCTTTTAAAAGAATTTTTTTCATAGCAATTGTGCACAACTTCTAACCAGAGGTTTCAAGGTTGGTTATTGGACTCAATTCAGTAGGATAAATCTGATGGGTAGCTAACTAGTTAGGGAAAGAAAGTGAACTGGACATAGAACTAAACACACTATCATTATAATATGTCAAGGTCAAAGAAACAGAAAAATTACTTCATTTGCATTAATGTCAGAAAGCATAGCATATGCTACAGAGCAGTAAATGAGGACTGTAATATCTATTGGAGATGGGAGCAGCACAAACCAAACTTTAGATAGGCCCTTCATTGTCCTACAGCAGGGGTCTCCAAACTTTTCAGTCCGAGGGCCGCATTAACTATCAAATTTCAGTTCGGGGGCCAGTTTCTTCGAGGCATATCTTTGATTTTTCTGGGCAAAGTTCCTCAGCCATCACCAACAAACGTTTTTTTCCGTGGACAAAAACATCTCCACGGGCCGGATGAGAGGACCTCGCGGGCCGCATCCGGCCCGCGGGCCGTAGTTTGGAGACCCCTGTCCTACAGGCAAGCACAGATGCTAACTTCAAGAAAGATTCGCACCCTTATTAACCAAGTGGGAGGTACATACATGAACCTAAAGATTGGCACTTTACAGTTGATGACCCCCAACGAGTTGTTTTCATTAACCCTCTTTTCTAATTTATCAGCGACCATAGAATCCTGATTAGTCAAATTTTTATTATTACATTTTAAAAAAGCCCCCAACGCCCTGAAAATCTTCTCAGTGGTATAATCTGCTCCTCAGCTCTCCCCCAGGCTATGTTTTGGGGATTACTTTCATATTTTACTATAATAAAACATTACATGCTCAGATATAATAATTAACTTTGATATTGTTCATGTTTTTTCAGAGAGTTTTCAGATGCTGGCATCAACAGAGTTTCAATTGGTGTACAAACTTTAAACAAAAATGGATTGCAAATTCTTGGAAGAGATCATTCTGAGGAAGAAAGTTTGAAGTAAAAATAAATTTCACAAAAAAATATGAATATTGTTGACCATTTTAATACTTCATGCGCTTATAATTGAATCTAATTTCTAACAGATGTCTTGAAATGTCAAAGTCTTTATTTCCTGGCCAAGTATCAATGGATCTGATATTTGGTTGGCCATCCCAAACACTTGATATGTGGATCTCAGAATTAAATCAAGTTTGTATTTTTTGTTCAAAACAAAAATTTAAGACTTTATTTAAATAAATTTTCTTGCATGTGTATTTTAAAATACCTAATTATTAAGTGAAGACATTATTAAGGGCAATAATCCCAGTCAGAAACTGAAAAAATTGTTGTAATAATTTAGTTTTCTGAAATCATATTCGCTGTGCTTCATCTAGCGTAGTGCATGTTTAACATTTAATTTATTTTGCCTCTAGATACTTCCCATCTGTGATAACCACCTATCGTTATACCAGCTAACTGTAGAAAGAGGAACACATCTTTTCAAGCAGATTCAACAAGGGCACTTGGTAATCAGAATTTGTCAAACATTCTTTTAAAATAAATTTCAAGGTAGTATAATTCATTTTAATATAGCAGTGATCAAATTTCAGAGGCAGCAAGACAGTCAAGTTGTTGAGGATATGTATTTAACAGCAGTAGACGTAAGTACTAAACATTGATTTTTTTATTTTTTATTTATGCTATCTCTGCCATGTGAACAGAGTGATCAGATGGTAGTGCTCACAGTTGCTAACCTGAAAGTCTCAGGTTCCAAGCTCATGTGCGTAGGACATCCTTGAGTCCACCTAGTACATGGCTCACTGTTGGGGAAATTAAGTTGGCTGGACATAGTGCTGGCCATGCTATCCCTCAAATGCCAAGGTCAATGAAATAGATTAGCTCTACTTCATCTGCCTGATGTGTCTTGGGGTATAAACAGTAAAAGATAATGATATCTCTGCCCTTTGAATAATTCTTTAGATTGGAAGACCATGAGAAACATAACCTTTATTCCAGGGAATGACTTAGCCAAATAAAAAAGAAATATTTTTGGGTTAATTTTTATTAATATTCATAATGTTCATCTTAGCATACCTAAAACTATTGTCCTCTTTCTATAACAACCTAAAATCGTTCATCATGTTATATAATAGTAAATTTTGATTTTTGTTCTCATTTTAGTTACTAGAAAGAAATAGTTTTGAAAGATATGAGATATCCAATTTTGCAAGGGAGGTAAGGAAGCTTATCAACTATTTTTTAAAAAGAAGTGTATATGTATATTGTTATTATGTTATTATTATAATATTTTTTTATTCTTAATATGTATTTTTAAATAAGTTTCAACTAAGTTATTTGACTAGTTAGAAACGAAGGTAGCTTATTACACAGTGGATTGTTATACTTTATTTCAAGGCTTGCCTCCCATTGGTCTAATATTTACTTGTAACTTGGTGTCCTGAAGCTCTATTTGAACTTTATATTACTTAAGCTTTAAAGGAAATTATAATTGTGTTTCTTCAGTAATATTTTTTATTTGAATATTTTACACTATTGATAATGATTGCATTTCAGTTTTACTTTTACAGCATAAAAACTCAATTATTTTAATGTCTCTGTACAATGTTTGTCTATTAATTTCTGCATAGAAATGTTACAGTCATCACAATAAGGCATATTGGACAGGACATGATTACATAGGCATAGGGCCAGGTAAGTTTTTGGTAAAAAAAAATTGGGTAATTAATTACTTTGTAACTAAAAAATTTCTCACATGATGAATAGCTTCACTTTTAGAATAAATGTATCAAAATACTTTTAGTAATTTTTGACATGGAAAAAAGTGTTGCCTTAAAAAATATTATCAAGTGATGAAAAGTTTTTTAAAGATGATTATAAGAGTGTCTCAGAATTTTTACTAGAATCTTTTTCTTTTTTCTCTCTGACTTTTGGTCCAGGAGCCCATGGAAGATTTCAGCCAGTTGCTTCCAAACAAAGGCAAGCAAGGATACAAACATTGGAGCCAAACGACTGGATGTGGGAGGTGGAACGTTTTGGCCATGCCACACGTAAAGCAACGTCTTTAAGCCAGCTACAGCAGTAGGTGTCTGTTCTTCTAACAACAGTTTCATTTTGTAAATAACAAACATATCCATTTTATTCTCCTTTTGCTACCAACCTCACAAGTCATGAGTCCTTTTCGTGGAACCAGTATTTGCAACAACTCTCTTTTATACAAGTGTAACTAGCTCAAGCAATGCACTTATCCCAGATTGTCTGCAACAGGACAGAGAGCTGAGCATTTCTCTTGTACTTGTCAGATGCTGGACCTGTGGGTTCCCACCAGACTTTTACTTATTATAAAACAATAAATAACATTACTAAAGTCAGGCACTCAACTAACATTCAACATGACTTTATATTGAGACAACAGTGTTTAATAAACAAATGACAACTCACCAAACTGAGTGACATGGAATTTCAAGTCATTACTACTACACCACATGAACCCATTGATTCTCATCCATTCCTACACCACTAGCCCCTTAAATAAGTGGTTTCTGATATAGCCTGTTTAGGAAAGGTGAATCCAATAATAATCCATAAAAAACTGTTCAAACAAAATTGTTATTTCTATTCTTTTGTTAACTATGATAGTTTATATATATATAACCTTTAAACATAGAGCTCTTACTAGATTATTATTTTCATTCCCTTGTAAAGTTTTGGCAAAGCATTTAACATGAGCCCAAAACTTAGAAAATGTATCTCAATGTGATTGACCAATCAGTTTACAGATATGCCATTTTTTTCTGTTGCAGCATATCAAATACTTAACTATTTTTATTTTAAATTTTCAGATTAGAAGAACTTTTAATAGTAGGGCTGCGAACAAGAGAGGGAATCTCTAATAAAGTTTGTATATTAGCTTTCCATCTCACTGGCTAATTGTTGTGATGTAAAGATCTTTCCTCAAAGCAATAAAATGCTGTGTGTTGATTCTGCAAATTTAAACTGTTAATACAATTCTGTCAGTTCATTATTTATATAGTTTTTAAATTGTATGCTACTTTCAATAGGTCTGGATGAAAATTTCTGAAGAAAGAAGCATACAAGAACTTCTGCAAGGTCCAGAAGTTAAACAGCTGGTTCAAAGAGATCTTCTGATGTTTGATGGCGAGTAAGTGCAATTTTTTTATGTCACCCTTCTGATTAACTCATTGTGGTGCCGCCTCAATAAAAAAATTATCATTTACTATGGAGTACAACTGACCTCAGTTTATCTCAAAATTGAGTATGGTCAAAAAGTATTCAAACAATTTTTTTTAAAGCACAACTGAAACCATTAAAAAAAAATCTAGCAACTGATTTAAGATAAAATGAGAATGGTATTTATTTTATGTGTATCATAATTGCAGTTTTTTCATTAATAATGTTTGGCTTTTAAGACAATCTTTAAAAATGAAACTGCTATAAAGAAATTTAAAACACAAAATATTATGTGTAAAGTATTCTTTTGATTTGTTTATGGAACTATTGAAAGTTTACAGTAGTTGGTTTTTTTTTTTTTTACGTTACACTAAAGATTTCTTCAGTTTTTTTGTGTATTTAAAATATTTATTTGTAAAATAGTTTTCCTATCTAAATGAACTTCAAGTATGAAATAAACTTAGGTAATTATTTCTGTCCAATGACAGAGATTTGAGAGCAACAAAGGAAGGACAGAACATCATAGACAGCTTGTTGCCAGACTTGATTAATGTTCTTGGACAAAACCAGAGATTAGCCGCGTCTATGACGACACAACCGCAGAACCTTACTTGATCTAATATAAAATTATAAAGGCATATGTGTAATAAATGTAACATTCATTGTATTATTGTTAATGATGTAGATATTGAAATTAATCATTTAAATATTTTTTTTAAAGATTTAAAATTAATATTTATTTTGAAAATAGATTTTATTATGTAAGAATGTAATAATATAATGTTCCTTTATTTTATATTTTTATTTTTATATGAGATATTTAGCCAAAAAATTTGTTTAATAATTAGAGCATTTCTGAAAAAAATTTTATTCTTTCTTTGCCATCTACACAAATGTCACAAAGTGCACAGCTTTAAGTAAGTCAGAATGCAATTTTAATTATATATTTTAATATTCCAAATCATTAAAGAATCTAATAATCATGTTGTTGTGCATTGTTTCATATAAATTTACAAAAAAAAAAAAATTCTTAATATATACTTTTGTATCTATACTAATAGTTTCACTGTCTGTCTATGTATCTATCTATCTATCTATCTATCTATCTATCTATCTATCTATCTATCTATGTATCTGACAAGAACGCTCTAGAGAAAACACAAGCAATTAAAAACTTTTACAGTAAAGCGGAAGCGAAATATGACGTCATATTCAGCATAATATAGTAGAAAATAGTATCAAGCCGGAGAGTGCACACAGTAATATGACGTCATTGATTCTTGAGTAAACATTGAATTATAAAGCCAATTTTGTCTAATCTATGTGGTTTGCGTGAAGAGTTTCTTTCATACAATTCTTTGGGTAGTGGCGGAGCCCCACCCTCGAGAAACAACGTCTAAGCCCCCACCCCAACTCAAAAGAAATTTCTTCATCGATACTCTATAATAAAAATTACCACATAATTAATGTGTCTAATCTAAAAAGTGGTTTGCTTGCAGTTTCTTTCGTGCAATTCTTCGGGTAGTGGCTAAGCGCGACACCAGTGTTTCTTTCAGACTTTTTCCTCCCAGGAGGGGGAAACTTTTTCTAATCTAAAAAGTTTAGTGTGCACAGTTTTTTTCATGCATCTCTTCCCCGCCCAGATTCTTCCTTTAGTTTGTATGATCTACAAATGCGACCAGTGTTTCTTTCAGACTTTTTCCTCCCCGGTGAGGGGTGGGGGTACTTGAATATTTTTGGGGGGGGGGGGGATACTGGAAAATGTATATAATTATATTTCGTTGAATGGGACGGTAGACATGTTTTGGGGTGTGGGGGGGGGGGGGGGGGGCGGAGCCCCCTCTTCCGAAGTAAAGTTGCCTGAAAAAAACTCTAAATGCGACTTTTGTCATGAATGAGATTAGGTGCATGGTTCAGGGATATAACTATATTTTGTATAAATTAAAGTACCGATTCTGGATAAAAATCCGTTTTCAATGTAATTTTTTGTTTCCGGTTAAATTGAATTAAGGTTTTGGTTTTAGTTTAGAGAAAATAGCACTATCAACCTAGCGCCCGTTGTATGCTTCCTCAACGGGCCATTTTTCTCGTGTATTAATAATATCGCATTTTTTCTTAAAGGTACTTAGCTCTGACTTACATTTTGTTCAGCTGTAATAATTACCTCTCTTTGAAGATTATCTTTCTTGGATGTTGTCATGTTTCTGACTGGTGAGAGTGTGTTATGGATGGATGGATATAAAAACACCTTTAAACGAAATGTCTCCATAACCTACATGCCAAGTGTGGAGTCTTTTCTTCCCACCTCTTATGTTGTCAGCCAGTGTCTATTTGAGCCACTAACCCAAGAAAAAAAAAAGGGGGGGGGGCGCAGATGGGATAGGGCCTAAACCACCCGTGTCTCCAAAAAAACTTTTTTTTTCTAATTTGTCAACTATTTGATAAATATATATATATGTAGATACATTATCGTAGTTACCATTTTTTTTAAATGTAAAAAGAACAGAACGTTTTTTTTTTACATGTGAAAAAAACTGGCAATATCCACATTTTCAAATGTCACGTGAGTCACTTTGATGTAACAGCAAGCAGACATGCCGGGGTGGCATCTTAAAATAGCTGGTCATAGTTCTATGGTCTATTTCCATGGCAAGATATGAAAAAAGCTTACTTAAAGTAGTCAGTATTTTTACCTCAAGTATGATGGCGTGACAAAATGTGGGGCGGTTGTACCTTCGCCTCAGTGGGGCAATAGTCCAAAATAATATGGTACTTCTTATCCAATCAGCGATTGAGCAATCATTGTGAGAATAGGGTGACTGTGAGAAGATGAAGGCGCTGTTGTGATACCACATTGTCTGACCTCCACGCACTCGCTCTAGACAGCCTTAGACGATCACCATACGCTATCATAAGAGGCTTTATTATAAGGGACATGCGCATTTTACTTGACACATTTTTACCGCCACCTTACTACTTATAACTTTGTGTAAACGTTCCTTAGTCCACCGCCCCCTTCATCCATTTTATATTGATAAGCTCCACCATTGTGGGAAATACCTCTATAAACAAAATGTGAAACGAAACAGAAGCACGCCACTAATCTATTTTTAGCTCGTCTCAATTAGTTTACTAGTAAACTTGTGTGTCCCAAGCCACTGTTTCTAACAATATTACATTGTTCACGAAACACAAGTTTCTCTCTATTTTCCTGGTATACACGTGCTTGATATTGTCCGCACGTTTTGTCTGTAATCGTATTTTAACCCAGTTCTCGAGTCCATGAGAGATAACAGTATCAACCTTTTGGTGCATCTGTCTTGTACTGATACATCACGGTGGCCACTCAATGAGGTCATCAACAGTTTACATATACTTTTGACACGTTGGGTGCATCTGCCATGCTAGGCCACGGCGGATTACTTGCCAATGCTACGAGACAACAGAGAATAAATATAAGAATGCTAGATAATAATTCAATTGGCCTGGTGGTAGAGCGCTAGAGGCTAACCCTTAAGTCTCGAGTTTTGTATGACGTCACTGACTCCACCAGCCCCGATGGGTAGGCTACACCCCCCCCCACACACACACAGAGGCGTAGCGACCCTTCCCGGGGACAAACTTTTCGATTTGCACCTCCCCTCGTGATTTCGATTTGCACCCCCCCCCCCTCAAACTTTCGATTTACACCCCCCTCAGCCTTTCAATTTATTTTGCCAATCCATTTTGGCGCCCCCTAAGGTCGGCGCCCGGGGACATATGTCCCCCCCGCCCGCCCCCCTCGCTACGCTACTGACCCCCCCCCCCCCTCATAATGCCGGGGGCATTGATACAGTCGAACTCCGCTTTATCTGCCCCATGTGTCTTGATGAATTTAATGTTTGTAGGTTTATAATGATTTAAACTTAAGTCACAGGGCCCCAGCAATGGCCCCACACCCAAGCTTAATCCGCCCAGTGTTTCTTTCAGATTTTTCCCCCGTGGGGGGGGGGGGGGGCGGACACTGGTTTAAGTATATATTTTCTATATAAATTTGATGACAGTTGATGACAGATTTTTATGATTTAGAAATCGAGACCTCTCAACGTTAATTTGCTATAGGATTAAAAAACAACGCTAAAACGTATTACAATTAATAGTATAGGGCCTATAATCGATTGCTGTAATTACTTGTGTAAGACATTAAAAATAATTGAGAATTGACCAGCTTGTGCATATTTTATATTGTGGTAAAAAGATGTCTGAATGCCTTTAAGAATTGGGTAAACTAGTGTGGATTTAAGCAGTACTTTTTTTCTCAAACAACGTACTTGATTTCTTGCACGCAACTTAGAATTACAGCCAGCTTCTTTATTGTCTATTTCGTGAACTGGATAATGGTTGGGCTAGTGAGTGTGGCTGGATGCCGCTCCTGCATCAATTAAACGTCTTAAATGATGCACGTGATAAAAGGTCGCCCAATCGTAATCTCAACTGCTGACGTTCATAGTTACAGACGCACCAACTACTGTTGTTAATTTTTAATTTTTTTTTATACCTTTATCCAGTCTAAATGTTTCATACATTTCGCGATTTAGCTTATCCAACAGCACTTCATTAACCCACCTGCTGATATCATTAATCATGTCCATAGGAGAGTACGAGAGGGTGGGTTTTTTTTTTAAAGCAGTGTTTAATTAAGTTAGCCCAGGTCACTATGCTCGGTTCGTGGATCAATCGATATCTGGACTTTAAGTACCCTAATTAAACGAGTACAGATGGTTTATTTGTACTGCTGTCATGAAGTTGAGAATAAATGGATTCTCCACAAGAGAAGCAGAACAATAAAAAAAAAACACATAAAAGCGGAACAATAAAAAACCCATAGTCTAATTAAATGCATTTTTTAGCCTCTCCCCATACCCATTGGCCTTAATAATACAGGCGATATATAAATAAATAAATAAATATATATATATGTATAATATAATATATATATGCAGTGACCTGATATTGACTGACCTAAAGATGATGCAGTGACCTAGTATTGACTGACCTAAAGATGATTCAATGACCTGATATTAACTGACCTAAAGATGATGCAATGACCTGATATTAACTGACCTAAAGATGCAGTGACCTAATATTAACTGACCTAAACATGCAGTGACCTGATATTGACTGACCCAAACATGCAATGACCTGATGATATTAACTGACCTAAAGATGCAGTGACCTAATATTGAGTGACCTAAAGATGCAGTGACCCAATATTAACTGACCTAAAGATGATGTGGTGCCATGATATTGACTGACCTAAGGATGATGCAGTGACCTTATGTTAATTGACCTAAAGATGCAGTGACCTGATATTGACTGACCTAAAGATTCTTTAAAATGTAAGCTACAGTTTATTCTGCTCTATCCAATCCAACTAGAATGTACATACATTTCATATTTAAAATAAAATTTAATAATATATTGCATCTATTTGTGGCAGAAGTTCAAGTTTCTCTGTCAGATGAGATCATAAAGTAAATTTCATAAATTTGAAATTTTACTCCTCTAAATAAAAATACTGTTTAGCTTTGCTGAAACTGGCAGTAGAAAAAAATTACATTGTGTAAAATATATAATCCAAATAAACTGACAGATTAAGTTGAAGAGCTAGGCTTGAGTGTCAATATTTTGATTAATTCAACAGGTTAAAGACAGATAAGAGAATAATGTATATGTAGCACAACACAAAGGCTATTTCAACAACCGCTCAGCAAACCTCTGAATACAGATGTTTTAAGTATTCAATGCATTCAAATGGCTTTAACACTTACTCTAATTTCTTGACTGTTTTAGTCACTAAAAAACTGAATTGATTTTCTCCAAGAAAAGTCATGTTTTTATCATTTGCTGATAAGTAGAAACCACAGGTGAAGATGCAGTTAAGTGGAAGGAATGACACCAAACTAACATATAAATAAATATATAAATATAATTATGTAGTTTCAGACATCTCATTTTTCTTCATGTATTGGCTCTTAAAACCAAGCCCATGTAATTGTGTGTGTAGTATTAATAATAAACAGCAGCTTATGGTTCTGTTGTCAAGCAGGACTGATGTTTGTGTACAACAGGTTAACCCACAAAGGTTGCTTCAACAAATTAGAAATGTTGAGAAACCACGAACTATTTCTATAAGCACTGTTTGCTTCTAGTGTACATAATGGCCAAAAAATAAATCAGGAGGATACAAAAACAAAAAAATTACATGTATGAAAGACACAAGATTTTAATCAAAATTTAAATTAATAATTCAGTGCAACTTTAAAAAACAAAAATAAATACATTAAGGTCAGATAATGTAGGTTCATGAAAAAATTCAAGTGTGCAGCCAAATGACAAAAATATTAAATTCTATGATGTGATGCATTTGAATTTGAGGAAAAACATGAGAATAATAAAAAGCTTTCAACAATATGATTTTTAAAAATTCAGTTCAAAAAATTAAAACTTTTCCTTTTTATGGTACTATAGAAGAATGTTAATTATTTGTCGGAACAATTCAAATCATTTCTACTTTTTCTACATTATAAATGATGAAAGTTTGTCAGTGGCGGTTTATTTTTCTAATGGGATTAAAAAATAATTGTAAATGCACTTCATGAAAACAGGTAGTGGCTAACACTTAAAATAAACAAGCAATATTCAATTAAATAAAGTTTGACATTTAACTTACACAGTTATTCAAAAAGTGCTAAAACATGATATAAATGGCATGATGAGAGTTCCTGCGCCCATTATATTACTCAGTTTTCTCTATACCAACATGCTATTTTACCCAAAAAATTTCTTGGACATTTGATGAAGGAACTTAAATGCAGAAACAAAACAAGACTCATGAAATTCTTACCCTCTTCTAATAATGAGTGAATGATGGACAATGCCAATATCACAAATTGAAAACTATATTTTTATATAAAAAAAATCATCACACTTAAACTTTTTATATACATAAATCATCACTTGATATATGAATACATACATAACCTACATACATCCATCACATTTTTTTCCAAATTGGTCTTCACATACATTACATACAATCACTTTGGCCTTACATAACTTACATCCATTACTTAATGTGACAACCAACATACCTAACATCTATTACTCAATGTAATGACTTCACATACACTGATCAACCAACATACCTGTTACATCCACTACTCAATGTGATGACTTCACATACACTGATCAACCAACATACCTGTTACATCCATTACTCAATGTGATGACTTCACATACACTGATCAACCAACATACCTGTTACATCCATTACTCAATGTAATGACTTCACATACACTGATCAACCAACATACCTGTTACATCCATTACTCAATGTGATGACTTCACATACACTGATCAACCAACATACCTGTTACATCCATTACTCAATGTAATGACTTCACATACACTGATCAACCAACATAATTGCTTCATCCACTACTCATTGTGATGACTTCACATACACTGATCAACCAACATACCTGTTACATTCATTACTCAATGTGCTGATGCTCTTGCCATAAAACTCTGAGTCTTGTTATGGAGCTCTGCCCAAACCCACTCCTTACAAAGCCATACATGGAACAGCTGATGACAAATGACCAAGACAGCCACAAAAGCCAGTCTCTACCCCTGGACACCACACTGGGCAATGGTCCCACAAAATCAGTGGGTTCCAGCTTCACAGTTTTATCAGGATTTAAACCTAAAGGAGAAGAAAAAATAGATTGGACATGTAGAATTGTAATTAGATGACCGGAATCATAAAAAACAAATGTTTTGTAATTTTAAATCTAAAGATTGTTAATCAGAATGATAGAATGTATTCATTACTAAAACTACAAGCTATACACTGGTTTCTTGTCACAACACACCTGTATTGTTGCTCACAAACTGAACAAAACTTTCAAAAACTCGAGTTGTATGGTTGAACCTTACAGCTGATCTTGAGTGGAATAGCATCACATTTGGAACAGCTACAGTGCCAAATCTGGCATTCAAACTGTTCAAAAAAAAATTTGCAAGATTTCAATTAAGGGTGGAAGTGCATGTTTTTTAGTGTAGATAGTTCATATGTTTCTGTGACCTAGGCTCATGATGGTATCATGTGATTGGCAGTGTGTCAAGTCTCCTTTCCTTTCACTGGAGTCAGGTACCCATCAAATCTGGGCTGACTCTGGCACATCCTATAGACATCCTATACACTACAGCCCAGGAATTCATCTCATGATTGTCAGGTTAGCATAAACCAATGAACTCTACTTTTCTACTTGTACTAGATCTCAAAGTGTTCTTTTTTTTTTTTTTGCACCAGTCAGTGCTGTGAAGTCCACAAAAAATGCATACTGTTTAACACCAGTTTAGCTAAGAAATGCTAACATTGATACAAGTAAATTAAATATAAAAAATACTTAGTACTTACTAACTGAAATGAGAAGTATCAACTGCCAAAACATCCAACTGTGGAAAAGCTCTGGCAAGGGCATTGTAGTGTGGGGCTGTACGAGCGCAGAAGTGACACCAGGGGGCATAAAATAACACCAGGACACAGGTGGATATTTTTTGGTTTTTACTAAAGTTTAAAATCTCCAGTAGCTCTGTACTATTAACTATTTTCACCTGAGAAAAGGAGTTTGAAACATGTCCAAGTATTGAGCCTAATAGATGATAAGTAGCTGAAAATTGTAAAAAATACTTAGGTATTTGTTAAGAAAAAGAAAAATATAATTACAAATGAAAGGTTACCTCGCCAGTGGCATTTGCAGAAATATTTTTAACGGCACATTGAAATCTTGTTTTCTTGTTGATGTCAGTCCCATTGAGTGTGGTATTGTGGTCTCTATTTACATCTTCACTCACTGTCAAATTTTCATTCATTATCTCTGACCCGTTGAAAGAACTTTCTTGGTTGTTTGAATCATCTCCAAATTCAGATAAAATAGAATACACCAAGGACTTGAACATATACAAGAAAGGGAAATACTGCTGTTTTTGGGGTGTGGATTCTGAAATCTTTTCACTGCCTTTAACTTCATGTACGGTTTTGTCAGCATCTTCTGGAATGACAATGCCAAGTTTGAGAAATTCAGATAAGTTGCTTTCTCTGATCCATTTTGCTGTGTCATTTTCTTCATCAGCTGTTTCTAGCTCTGCACTGATTTCTTCTGTATTCAGTGACTCTTTAATTTCTTCATTCACAGAATCTGCATGGGTGACAGCTATATTGGAATCTGGCTGATGCTGGGCCTCTTCAGTGTGATGGATGAAGTGTACATCTTCAATTTGTTCACTTGCCAAATGTTCTGTAGAAACAGCCTCAGTGAGAGGTGTGTCAACAATATCATCACCATGTGATGGAGTAAGCACATTGGATGATCTTATCTCCTCTAGGCAAGGTTCTTTCAAGCAACTATTATCATTGTCATTTTGATCATTACAAAGTACACTCTTCTGGAGTAGAAGCAACAGCAATAGGTATATAGCAGTCATTGTTTACAAGGCTGCCTCTGTTGTGAATAAAACACATGATTAATTATCAGATAATGTCATCAGAACCACTCATAGCAAACATATTGAGAAATAAATTTATGCTACGTTTGAAATGGGCAAAAAATTAGTAAAAAGGATTTATAGGCAATTAAAAAATGGAAAGGATTATTGAATAATTTTAACAAAATAGGCCTGAAAAATAATTGAAATTAATTTATTTCTTAGAGTGCTAAGAACAAATTATAAAAAATGATACATGTTGATATCAATCACATAATTAGCACTAAGTCCTATTGTTGATGTATCTCAGTGTGTTAACAATAGAAATGATTGAACTCTTCTTCTTCTTCGTTCTTAATTTTTAGTGTTGGGACGGATCGAGCCTTATCTGCCAGAGGGTTTGAACTCGAGACTTTTTTTTTGTTCGAATTTTTCAACCATGAGCTTTGCAGACTCGACCATGCTTCCATCACAATTAAGGATTACGTGTCAACTGGTTATGTGCCATTGAGGCCATTGACTCCGATTTCAGCCTGCTTTTCTTTTTGGATTTGCTTCCATAGCCTTTGTCCAACCAAGAACAAACTACAAGGCAGCAGTTGTTTGATTTTGGATTTGTCTCTCCTAGAAGAGTGGCTGTCCCCAGCTAACGAGCCTCATCTGCCCGAGGGTTCGAACTCGAGACTTTTCGGTTTAGCAACCATGAGCTTTACCGACTCGACCACGCCGACCCCCATGATTGAACTGAAAACATTACTTATAATTTTCACAAGCCTTTGTACTATAAAGTATTGATAAGTGAAGTTAAACTTGTGCTTTATTTCCAAAAAGCTGCCTGATTTTTAATAAGTAATAAAAAGGTTGCTTTTAATTAATTAAAAGGTTGCTTTTTCAATATTCAGCTAAAAAATGAAAAGACAGAAAAATATAAGAAAAACCTACTTTTACTGTGATTAAAGCCTATATAATTTGAACAGCACATTTAATATTCTTCTAAAACTTAAAAAATTCAGCTTAAAAGTGATATCTAATATGTTTATGTTTAGTTATGGATACTGTTATCAGTTGGAGCAAATATGAAGTTGATTCTAATAAAAATGGTTTTAAAGTATTAAAGAGTCAATTTGTTTAGAAAAAATGCTTTTAAAACTATTTTTATAACAACTTTAATATTTATAGTTTTTTTTTCTGGTGCAGAAATGGTTCACACATTTAGAAATATTAAAAATACACATTCTGGACTTTTTCTACTGTGCATTTCACATAATATTAAATATTATTTCTTCATTTCAACTCCATTTAGAGATGTAAATGACCACTAAAGAAAGTGGAGATTTATCGGTTTTACTTGGAAAATATTTTAAGGAAATTAGAGAGTAACTGAAACCTATGTTTAAAAACAAAATGGTCTTGATAAATTGTGGTCATAAAATTATACGGTATAAGAATTTTGTTGCCTTACATTGTATTAATGTTTTTTATCACATTGCTACCTCAGATTTAAACCCTAAGAGTTAAGACCAAAGACGATTGTAGATCTAGTTTTTGTTGTATTTTTAGAAACCTAGAACTAATTAAAAATAACAATGTTAATATTAAATTTGTAAATAACAGCTCTAGTAGAATCATAACAGCCGAAACATGACTGTGTACAGTTACAGGGGCACATCATAGTCCTCTCAATCAGTGGGGTAATTAAGGCTTTAGAGATGCAGGTTGTAGTAAAAGTATCAGAAAAGTGGAATATAAATAAGCAATATATAAAATGAGAACTGCAAATGGTCTGGCATTTAATTTCTGTATCATAAACATACCTTCACATAAATTTTATTTTTGGATGATGTAGAGTATTGTAGACTGTCAAACTGTAGAGTTCAGTAACCTGCCAATGTAGAACACCTAGAATAGATCTAAATTTTAGATCCTAGACTAGAAGTACACTTAAAAATAAAAGTACACTGATACTGACTGTACTGTAGTAGTTATTCTAGGATTCTAGTATTAAGTGCTGAGTCTCTCTAGAGTAGAGTGTCCAGCTCTAGCTAGAACTAGACTAGATTCACCAGAATTATCATTGGAAGTGTAGTTATAAATAAGTTAGTAATAGTAGGCCCCTAGGTATGTTGTAGACTATAGTACTAGACTTTAATTGTCTAACTGGTACGTAGATCTAGTAGCTAGAGTACTGTGAGTCTGTGAGTGACTGAGTCTGGTTAGGCCCCTAGCCCAAGGCCCTCTAGGGTGGGCTAGACTAACTATATGGCCAAAAAGGTAATCTATAGTTTTAGGTGCGTAAAATCAGCAGCTAGTAATGTGCGAACAAGTTGCCTTACTGTTAAGGCTTTAACAGAAGTATATTGTGATACATTTGTGTCAAATACTAATAAATACTATAGAATACTATAGATTATATTATAGATAACTGAATAATAAACCAAAATCAATGGCTAAATAATACTAAATATAAATCAATATAGGCCAGAAATTAAATTTGAACAGCAGTGTTTGCGAGCAAGATTTGCTATCTATATATTAAACAGCATCGTAGATTTAAGTAGATTACGAAAGCGGTGTAGATCTAGATCTAGAATCTAGATCTAGACCTGAAACGATAGATTACCAAAAAAAAAAAGGGCCTAATTTTAAGTAATTTAGGTAATCTATCGTTTTAGGTACGTAAAATCGCCCGCGACTAGTAATGTGAAAAACAGGTGACTCCTTAAATTTTAATAATTATTTCACATTTTGAGGAGGATTTATGTTTTGAAAAATACAGAAATGTTTCCTCGTTTCATTTATGTACCTGTTTTCAAACAATTGCATTAAAACTTTTCAGTAATAAATGAAGACGAGCGATGTTTCCAACAGATGCAACCATGCTCATTTACTATAGCAGCCATCTTGTTTAAGTTCTTTCTACGTTAACTTATAGCGGGAGATTCAGGGGAAGGCAACTCTATTTTACAAATGGCTGCTCACAAACACTGCTGTTAAAAGTTAATTTCTTGCCTATATTGATATATTTAGCTATTAATTTAGGTTTATTATTCATTTCTATAATATTTGACACAAATATATCAAAATATTTAATATACTTTTATTAAAGCCTTGACAATGAGGTAACTTTTTCGTACATTACTAGCCACGGGCGATTTTACGTACCCAAAACGATAGATTACCGTCCGTAATTTATTTTGGTTACCCGGGATACGATGGTTTGACTAGCATTTACACATTTCTTAAAATGATATGGTTGAAGTAGTATAATACTTTAAAAAGACGGAGTTTTTAAAAAGCTAAGGCATAGGACCTTAACAATAACATAAAATAAAATAAAAAACCTTAAAAGTTTTCATCGGTTAGGCCTAGGCTAGAAAGAAGTGAGAAAAATCGAGAGTCCCTGAGAGTCGTTTCCCTTGTTAAATTTTTAAAAATTAGGATAAAAGATTAACGAAATTTAAAAAAATTCATTTTACAAATATTAAATATATTTGATATTTAAATGTTTGCATGCTGTAGAAATTAATGAATAAGATAATAAAATGATACACAGCCCTATTGTTATCGAATAGATTTTTTTATCGCTGCTGTTATCGCTTGAGTTTATATTAGGTTTATCGCAGGGATCAGGATTATGAATATGTAAGCTAGGTCAGGGGTGGGACTATGGTCAAGGCCAATGTTGGGGTTAAAAAAAATAAATAGAATCTAGATTTCTAGTAGGCTTAGTCTAATTCGATCAAAGACCTAACAAATAATTGCTTAGCTTAAAATATAATTAGATATATCTGTATTTCCTGTTTTAAGTTTGACCCAGGATAATTTGATTTGGCACTTAGGTACATGAAATAGATAAACAATATTTTAAAAGCAAAAATACTTAGATAGATATTAGAGATGAAAACAGTATTAAACTAATTAATTTGTGTACAAATGTGTATGTACCTCTCTCTCCATCCCACCTCTCTCTCTCTCTCTCTCTCTCTCTCTCTCTCTCTCTCTATATATATATATATATATATATATAGATAGATCTATATAAAACATATGAGGTGATATATTAACTGGTGTTAAATATTAGCTGTGGCTTATTAAAATTATGGGGTCGTCCATAAATTACGTCACACTCGTAGGGGGAGGGGGTGTCCGTAAATTTGTGACGGTGTGTGATGAGGGGGGAGGAGGGTTCAGATGGTGTGACGTCACGCTTTTGCATTATTAAAAAAGCTATGTTAGAAAACTAGTTATTTCGCGTTTTAGAAAACGGTTTTAATAAATTGTAATAGGAATTTATCGAAATACTCTATGTTGACAGAGTTCTGTCAAGATTTTGGATGTTTTAAGAAAATTCAACAGCAATTTTGAGGGGGGGGGGGGGGGTTGTAGGCTGAGGTGTGACGTCATTTTAGGGGGGTCTGGCTTTTTGTGACGACGTGTGACGGAGGTTAGGGGGGAGGTAAAAATCGTCAAAAAAGTGTGACGTCATTTAAAGATGACCACTATGCTGATCTCGCTGAGTTGGCCTAAAATCATTTTTAGTTTTAAAAGATGTACATTTACAAGTTAAGACAAGCCATTAATTGTAAATAGCTTACGAAAAGATAATTTAAGTGGTCTAATTTAATTTTATACATTTTTAAATATTTTATTTTCAAAATCAAAGTAGATCTAGAATCTATATAATGTACAGGCCTATCGAAATTATTTTATAAAATTATTACACAATTTAAAAGAAAATGCTTAATTTTTAGGATTCTTAATAAATTCTTATTTTTCATTTAATGTAGGCCTACATATTTTATTGAAGTTATAAATAGCTTTGATGTGTAGTTATATGAATAGGGTATACTATTTTATAAATCTTAGTATAAAATACAATACAATATATGTATCTAAAATTAAAGAAAAAAAATCACTCGCTCTAAAATCCAATGTGGCATGCTTATTTCCACGCCCGTTGTCTAGGTCTTGTTACAATAAATTTCATTGGCTATTTGAACTCAGTTCATCGGAACGACCAATCAGTTTACTAACATCACCATACCGACATTATTTTAGCGTCGGCACTTCCGCGATGAACTCATGTTCGCAGTGCCTGGTCACCGACAAAATTCTATATTCTAAATTTTTATAGTTTACAGTTAGAGGCATTTCCTATACAAGCTTGGTGCACGTGTAGTGAAGTATGGAGCCCGGAGAGCACAATTACAGTATTGTGTTTCAATTTGAAAAAGAATGGCACGAGCGAAAATTTCTAAATTACATGTTGGAACGATGGACCGACAGTTTTGTATACTCAGCTGTCTATGTTATATTAGTGTTTGGGGGTCAATTTTTGATGAAAAGACGTCCTAAGTATGAGCTACGTCCTTTTCTGGCTCTATGGAGTGGAATATTAGCACTTTTTAGCATAGCTGGTGCCATCAGAACATGGCCAGAACTGGTGTCTGTATTGACAAATCACGGGATTCAATATTCAGTGTGTGTACCCACTTATTTTAAAGGTGTAACAAGCTTCTGGTCATTTATGTTCACAGTTTCCAAAGTCTACGAACTAGGGGATACAATATTCATTGTTTTGAGAAAGCAACCCCTTATATTTCTGCATTGGTATCACCATATAACTGTTTTAATCTATGTCTGGTATAGTTACACTGATCACACAGCTCCTGGTAGATGGTTCATGGTCATGAACTATACAGTGCATGCTTTCATGTACTCGTACTATGCTCTTCGTGCTCTGCAAATTCGATTTCCAAAGTTTGTCAACATGATTATTACATCTTTACAGCTGACGCAAATGATTATAGGAGTACTTATCAACATTTGGATCTATAGGATAAAGGGAAGAGGTGAATTTTGTCAACAAAGTTATGAAAACTTATTGTACTCTTCTGCAATGTACTTTACATACTTTGTTTTATTCGCACACTTCTTTTATACAACATATCTTTCAAAACCTTCACATCGGCAAAAAGGAGATTAATGACACAGTGTATTAGACTTAAAATAAGGACACTTTTATTACCTGGACAAAGCTTTTCAAATAAGAAAATAAACTTTGGTCACCGAATTACTTTTGGTATCATGTGATTGGAAAATAAACAAAACAAACGAGCTTCTGTTTATACTTTTATTAGTTAAAATTACGTGCACAATCAGGGGGTGGGGAATGTTAAAAAATTTAATGAATAGCAATAGGTGAGCACTGCATGTAGATCTAGATCTAGGTGTTTTACATTATTTGAGTCAAAAGAGGATATCTCATTTTGTTAAAGGGAGTAAAAGCTAAATTTGTGTACAGTGTTATAAATAATTTGCTTACATGTTTTTTGTTTCATTTATTATAGTTAACTTTCCAGGTTTCAAACAGTTGCCTTACTTTTTTTCAGTTGTAGTGATTAGTAAAATAATTGTTTAAAAAAGTCTAAATTCACATACAAGTTAGTTTTGTCATATTTTAATGGTCATTAGAATTTAATTATAAAAAAGAAAAATGAAATGTTTATACTTGTATATTTTAAAAATCTTGTAATGTAGAAGTCATAGTATTGCACATTTTGTTACAATTTATGTGCCCTATTTTATTAAAGAGATGTTTAATTATTGCTTTGCAATTTAAACTTTATAAATATAGACGGGAGCATTATTTAAATTGGTGCAGTTGCTTTCAGTTTTAAGCCACTATCTCTTTTAAAATGTAAATGTGCTAACTTTCTTAAAAGTTCTTATTTCAGGATTTAAGTGATTCCTTGTGATACTGGAATAATCTTTTTAATCAAGTATAAAGATGCAATAAATAATTACAATAAACTATGTAGGCCACTATTGTAAAATTAAAAAAAAAAACCTTTCTAGGCTATAGGCCTATTATTAGTAGAAAGCATCATGGTAGAAGCATTGTATACTTATTAGGTAGACCATAATGACATTGCAATTGTCAGAATGATCACAATGGACCCTTGACTTAATTTTTTGCACATGACTTAAACTTAAAATATATTCCCTAATACTAAAGTAATACAATAATATCCAGTGGAAAGGTTTAAGAGACTAGTTGGACCATGTATTTGTCCCTGGGAGGTGGTATTGGATTGGAGTAAATAAACAATTAGGTTTTAAAACAACAGTATTTCAATTTATCATGCCCTTCCATTGCAACAAATTAGCACACAAATGTCTTGTATGCCAGTGTTACTGTTTCCTGTCTGTTCACGTAATGTGATTTCAACTGATGAGTTTTAATGATAATGTTTAGGACAAACGTGATGTTTTGTACATTTATAGAAACATTGTATTAGTCATTATATAAAATTAAGTAATTTATAAATGGTTGTGTCATTCATCATGGTACTAAAGTCCTCCAGCTTAAAATGAGTTGTGTGCACATTTTTTACTATTTGAATTTTAAGTCTTTATGGGTGTTTTTATTTTAACACTCCTTTAAAAAAAAATTAACCAGGTCTCCACAGTTTATTTAATGATAAGAAGTGTAATCAATATATCAAGTGTTAGCTCCACACAGTTATATTTAAACTATGTAGTATATACTTCCTCAAGATCTAGAGCTAACTTTATCAATATCAGTAAGCATCTTATTTAAATTTCATCTGTAAGTAGGCCTATAGTACTAGCAATACTCACATTTATGCAAACTGTATCATATGTGCTGTGTTTCTGTGATTTTAAAGTTAAAATGTTAGATATTGTTCACAGAGTACTCATGTTTTTATTATTATTATAACTTGAAGTTAATTTTTGTAAGTTAATTTTAATCCTCAGAAGTTATGGTATCAATTCTATCAACTTAAATACTTGCATACATGCTGCAACTTGTATTATAAAAATAAAAACCTACCATATAAGATAAATGGTGTAAGATGTGGGACTGTAAAATCCACTTTAAATTTCTGTTAAGTTACTAGTGTACTATTTGCTGCATGATCAAACATTTTGTAGTTGGTTACATCATCATAAATTGTTTTAGTGTTGTCATGTTTTAATATTAATAAAGTTTGGCACCATATCTTAGTCGCCAGATACATCCTTTTTTACTGAAGGTACATAATACATCAGCATTAATTAAATTTGTCTAGTTACTGTAGGTTAATTATTCATTTTTTTGTACATTGTTTTCTAATAGACATCAAATATTTTTTATTAGAATCTGCATATTCATTTTAAATTAATGTTTTTCTTCTTCCTTGTAAACTGTTTAAAAATTTATTAACAACTTGCTAAATGGGCTCAGTTATTACTTTTTCATTTATATAATGTTAAAAAAGAGAGATAACAAGCTTATTGCTCATGTTATTTTTAGACCTTGTTCCTGCGCAGTCGCACATTTTTGAAAATAACTACCTCTGATTTTTCTTAAGGACCTAGGAAGTAGGCTACTTTTCATGTATGGTTTTGGATAATCAGAGTATTTTGTTTTCTCAGCTTTTTATATTCTAAACTGTTAAATGCTCTTGAATCGATTTATACTGACAAAATTGATATTCTTGCTTGGCAATATTCTTTAAACGTTGTTTCCTTTGGTACCCAAACTTGTACTATAAAATGGTTTTTATTAAACACCACATCCTACAGACTGCAATTAATTATTGAAGAACTGATACTAAATTGAATTACAAGTGGAAAGTGTTTAATGATTACTAATCACAGTAGCTCTTTATGGATTGTGCTTTTTTTTTTTGCTTGCGCAAAATATTATTCCCTAAGAATTTCATAATTTCATAACCATTAATAAGAATGAGAACTCTGGCCAAATGGAAATTAATATTAAAATGCCAGTTTTTAGTCCAAATACCCTGATCAAAATTATGAAATCCATGTTATTTGTATATGCACATTTTTTTAAGCATTATTGTTTCAGCCAGTTTATTATGTAGAATTACTCTCAACATTTTATGATACACTAACATTATTTCTTGTTCATTGTAAGTTATGTCCATTTGACCTCTTCCCATGAAGTGGTACCAGGTAACACAGGAAGAGCTGACTGGCAATAGTTACATTTATAGAACATTCTTTAGGTTGTGCCAATATTTTTGTTGCTTGCAGTAAGTTATGGTGCATATGTTACAATTGTTTGATGTAAGGAAGGTGAATTAGAATAACTTTATATTGTAATTCAATCAAAATTTAATGTGCTTGAAAGTTTTAAAACTTGATTAAAATGTTGCTCTGAGAAAGGTTTTTGTAATATACTTTATGCTTAACCTTTTTACTTGGCAGTAAAATAAACATGTACAATTACATTTATCATTCATAACTATGCCTATTAATATTTTAAAAAAATAGTTTTGGAAAAAGACTTAGATATTTCATTTCATAAAGTTTTTTTTTCTTTCCATTACTATCTTTTTTTGAGCTATATTTCTTTTACTATTACCAACCAAATTAGATTTCAACCGATTTTTTTTCACCTTTTGTAAAAATTATATATTTATTCAAATTTGTTTTTTTTTTTCAATGCCATGTTAGATTTTAAAGTCTTGTTAAGTTATTGGGCTTGTTTTGCCATTAGCGTTAAACAACTTCTACAGGAAGTATTTTAATAATCAATTCTTTTTTTACAGCATGTTAGAAGTTATTTTCAACAGATTTTAGTAATGTATTATTTAAAGAAGCTTGAAAATTCCAATGGATAATTTCCATGCGTGTCTAGTAAGCAGGTGATGGCAAATGTTCCTTTTTATTCCAGTTTTTGCTATTGTCTTTCATAACTTGCTTACATATCTCCCTCTGTTGGTTGTCAGACCAGTTGACTAGAACAGTATATAGAGACATGTAGACCACACATTTGACATGATGCGTTTATTATCTTGTTTGTGTTATCAATATTTTTTCCCCTGCTTATTGAAGAAACCCAGTTTTCTATAACATTTGTCTTACTACTTGCTTTATATGACAAATTGTATATTTGAATAGAATTTTCAAAATGAAATGTATAATTGATTTAATGTAGGTTCTCTGACAAGGAGTAATAAAATGAATTGTTTGTTTGCTTGTTTGTTGCTTATTTTATGAATAACAAAAAAAATATCCATAAAGCACCAAAAGTCTCAGCATTTCCACCTTTTTGTTAACTTATCTGTACAGGTAAGAATGCTCCTTGTCTGGCATATATTTTAAGCAATGAATTTAAAATGAAATTTGCCTTCCAATGATTGAAAGCCATATTCTGTTGCCTCAGAAGGAAAAAAAAACCTATATCAATTCTGTGTGTTATAGTTTTTCTCATTTTGCTAACTGAAATAATAAATGAATGGATGAAAGGATGAAAGGTATGGTTTCTGATGCTTTTTAGCTTGTTTCAATTATGGAGCAAAAGTTTCTTTAGTAGTGTAAAGGAGAGGTAGAAAAAATATCCATTGTCAACTAGAAATGTGTGGTTGCCATGTCATAAGAAAATTACTTTTAAGAAAAATGAGTTGGGCTGGGCTTGTGAATTAAAAAAAAAAAAGATTGAATGGAAGATACAGTTTGTTGTACTAACACATTACTCTGGTTTTGTGTGCACCTGATTGTGTTTTCACCTATGATGTTAGATACATTTTGTTGATGTGAGTTCTAGTTTGAGAATTTGTTCCATGTTTGAGTAGAACTTTTGATATCCACATACAGAGATTCAGTGAATACAGCTGGGTTGTTTTATAGTTGTTTTTTTTTCTTCTGTGAATTGAATTAGATACAAAAATGTGTTCCTTTTGTATGTATTAAATTTTTCATACAGATTTTTGTGTGAATTCAATTATTGTCAGCCTGTGTGGATGCAAGTATGTTTTGTGTTCATGCTTATGTGACATCACGCTATTGAAGTATAGTGTTGGTATGAATCTAGTGATAACCAGGTGAGGTTGATTCTTTGACAGCCTAAACTCTGTCATGAGTGCTTAAAGATGATTAGTTTAGACAGGTATGGTATTTTCAGACTTTCAAGTCAATGGCAGTGTAGGTGTCTTGACTAGTGATGATCAGGTTAGGGCTCTCTGACACAAGGATAAAGTTTTGACCATATGTGGTTGTCTTTGACAAGTCTGCCATTAGTGTTAAGTGGTGACTACTTGTGGTTGTCTCTGAAGCTAATGTCGAGTTTTGGCCACATGTGGTTGTCTCTAACAAGTCTACCACTGGTGCAAAATGACCATCTGTGGTTGTCTCTACCACTAGTGTCAAGTTATAACCGTGTGTGGTTGTCTCTGACAAGTCTGACACTAGTGTCAAGTGATGTCTGTGTGATTTCTGTCATACATGTCAAGTTATGACTGCGTGTGGTTGTCTCTGCCACTAGTGTCAAAAGATGACAATGTGTGGTTGTCTATGACAAGTCTGCCACTAGTGTCAACTTATGGCCGTGGGTGGTTGTCTCTGACAAGTGTCAACTTATGACCGTGTGTGGTTGTCTCTGACAACCTAAGC